TGAGATGACGACGGACAATATACAATTTTTTACGAGAAGTAAATTTGCGTTAACAGGGAAGTGGAAACGTTTCCCAGCAGTCCTTTACAAACTTTTCTTCACACTGAAAACAACTTGCAAAACTATGCCTCAGTTATGTTTTGCTCTAATGCCTTTAAAATATCCCTTCCATCTTTTCAGCACTTCCTTATAAAACGGGTCGCTATCTATCATGGTCACCCAAGTCAGTTGGTTGACGTGCGTGGCATGGTAGTCCCAGCGGGCCAAATTGGGTTCAACATCCATGGTTAGATGTCTTAGATCGTATATGGTCCCTGAACCACTATCATACATTAGAATCATAGCTCTTAGCGATGTCATTCCATCTTTAAACAGACCCTCGGCTTCGCTTCTTTGTTCTGAAGGTAGGGTCATCTTCAAGTCGTAGAGTCCCATAAGCGAGTACAAAAAGCCGTTAAGAACAAAAAGTGATGGCGTCATTGGGTACTCTTCGTACCATTTGAATTTATTCATAAAAATAGCTAAGATTCCATTGTCTTTTGATTTCACGTGAAATAATGCAGTGGCGCGTTTTGCGGCGTTCAGGTACTCCAAGTCTTTGGTAACATGGTATGCTCTAGTTAGGATGGATAATGCTTGTCCCTGGGCCATCGCGGAGTACCAGCCTGGCTCCAGTTCCGCTCCAGTTTTGAGTTTTCGCTTCACTGGAATCCCCCATCCGCCTTTCTGATCTTGGTTCTTCAAAAGCCAACGCGCCGCGGCCAAGAACGCAGCCTTGTGACCATTTTCCATTAGAGTGACATTATCTAGACATGAAATGATTTTTTGTTAACAAAATTCAGAATGCCGAATGGGCTATTTTATAGCAGTTGGAATGCTATCAACTATATAGCACAGCCAACTGTTATAGGCGGGTTTCTAGTAAGCATTACGAAACAGCAGATCAGGCCCGGGCAGGGGTTTTTGGTATACGGGTATCTTGGGCGTTTTATTTGAGGTACTGTACCGTATATGGTATCGGGAGGTTTAATTAGGGGTATTTGGCATCTTGTTGAGACTTTAATTTTAGGTATTTGCCTATTTGGTATCTGGATCTCCTCCAAATTTGGGTATATTCATATCTGCTTGGTGGATAATCCAAGTGAGCATTTTTATACACAATTTAAGACCTAACCAGGACGGTGGCGAAAAATGCAACACTGGGTCCTCTGGCAGGGAGTTGAACCTGCAGTCCTGCGATTCCGGTGCAGCGCTCTAACCAACTGAGCTACAGAGGCCAGTTGTCAAACTGTGACCGCAAGTTCATGTATATATAGATTTACAGGTGTGTGGGTTGTGATAAGGTGACTTGGAATTCACTTTTATTATAGGCCGAATGACTAGTGATATTCTCGCACCATATATATACAGAATTGTAATATAGAGCTGACTGGATGAAACCCACTTATATTCGTAAAAATGCTATAACAATAAAGCTATTATTTACCTTACCTATAAAACCCTCCCCTTGTAAGGTTAAACTTTGTATCTCAGTTAAACGGAGCTTGGCCCTTTTCTTGGTGTCTTTCTTGCGGCCTAATTTCTCTCTGAGTGCTTTGTTCAAATCGATCCATAGGTTTCTCGTAATTCTTCGGCACTTGTGTGTCAAACCTATTCCATAGGTAGCACCATCTTGTCGTATTTCCACGAGAGTTTCGCTTGTGTTGTAAACAAGTGTGTACGTTTTGGTGTCGCCCACTTCCACTTTGATCGAAACTGATCCAGATGATTTGAAAAAAATGTCAAAGGATAGCACGTACGTTTTACTGGAACTTGCAAACGGTAAGGTGACAAAGTTCTCTGGAGAGCCTGGAAATTAGATAGAAATTGTAAGATAGAAGTAACTGCCAGGGTCCATGGGTCTTGAAAATCATGAAAAGTCCTTGTTCCTGAGTACATGTATATAGCATACATCCCAATGTTCTATATTGAGGAAATTTTCCCCTATTATTTTTCTCCATTATTGAAGAGGTCTTCTAACAATGTCAGGGAACAAACAGTGGCGTAGCCAGACCTTCATTTTTTGGGGGGGGGCGAAGCGAACGCCGAAGGCGCGAGACCATCTATGGAGGTCCGGGGGCATGCACCCCCGTGAAAATTTTGAAATTTAGAGTCCCTGAAATGTGATTTCAAGCATTTTGGGGGTGAAATCTTGCAGAATTCCGAAGATTATAAAGTACGTCGAAGACATAAATTTTCCCAGACATTTCTAAGTTTCTACTCTTTTTTATATATGATACAGAATAAGTCTGAGAAGAATATTCATGTTATCATAATGCATATACATGTAAATCTAAATTAAATCTATTCCTCTTGGAACCATATCTACAACTGTTTTAACGAGATTTTAGAAATCAAGTTCTTCCAGTATTTCGTCATTTTCCTCAGTCGAGACGTACTTAATCCGTTTCAGCTTCGAGGATGTAACGTCTACCCCCCCCCCCATTTCTCTACAGATTTAGCCTTTTTCAGAGAATAGTTTTTTTGCGATTGGGGGGGGCGACCGCCCGCCCTTGCCCCCCCTTGGCTACGCCCCTGGGAACAAAATTTACATTTGTTTCTACTATACAACCAGAATAGTAGATTCTGGAAATTTACTATTCCATCTAAAGATCCACATTTTTTTATGTCTTTGAGTGCCTGTCAACAGCCTAGTGAGTGGTATCTCTGACAATTGTGACGTAAGTCGCAAGACCTCTGAACTAAAAATCACCAAACAATCATAGCAAACACTTTTTTTTTATACAACAAGAATCTATCAAATGCATGTGTCAAATTCAACTACAAAATTAACCAAGGGAGGATTTTCATTTATTTAAAAGGAGGGGTAGAAAAATTTCTGGTGGGGTGCAAGTGGCACCACTCAGTGAGCTTCGGCAGGGGTTAGTCTTTGGGTTAAAGCCTTTCACACCAAATAGGAGGGTTGAAGCGAAGTTTTGGTGGGGTTGAACACTTTATTTGAGGGGTTAGAGAGATTCTAGGGGGGGGAGGTTAACCCCTCCCCCCCAGTAAATCCACCCATGAAATTAACAGTTGTTAGTAGCAAAATTATCCTCCATAACATACTAGTGATATTATAAATTGATACAAATTCTGTCAGTTATTTTACTAAATGGGATAGCGTAAATTTTCATTTACTTCATGAGGGTTAGGGTCAAGGTGATGTCATCCACAACAAACACTTGTGTATAAAATTACTACCAGTTCATACCTACCATTTGTATTAAACTCCATCACCCGCGACTTCCTCTCGGCATTATACACATTCTTCACAAAAGCCCCCTTTCCTTCTGCCACCCACTCCTGGCTACCAGTCTTCTCACAATCATCCACGACCTTGACAACACCTTTCGGTCTCTCGACCCACATGCTAAAATGACTCAACCCATATTGTGCAATCTGTATGGGATACCTATACCCCTGTGGACCCCACTGGGTCGATATCGGAACCTCGTCTACCCCGGTTATACACTTCACCCTGGACCGACCCTCTACATTATAGTTCAAAAACCACAGAAAACTACCATGGGGGTCATAGGTGTCGGTCTTCGGGGTGAAATACTCGTAGTTGGTGTGCCGCACATGAAACTGCTTTCCGAAATCATCTCGAACAATTTTCCCTTCAATTTCAAAATAATCTCTTATAAAAGAAAATGGGACATAAACTTCCTTATTTTCAATGCGGCCTTGAATTTTACTTTCGCCATTGACTAGCACGTCTATATTTTTATAAGATATTGCGTCATTATTTGATTCTTGTCTTAGTTTTTTGCCATTTTCGCCACCGTTTTCGTCGCTTTCTTCGACCAAAGAGTCCGTAATTTCTTCGGATTCTTCATCGCTAGTATCATCCTTTTTTCCAACTTTCTCTTCGACGGGCAGATCGCCTTCAAAGCCTCTGTGTTGTCGCGTACTTGAGGCAAGAACTGGCAACGCACCGTTCTCAAATCGTCCGATTTGACAACGGTTCCACATAAAAAGCATAGCCCCCAGACAAAAAATAACAACTACATTCCAACGGGATGTATATCGTAACATTTTCAACCAAAAAGCCCAACAAATACGCATAGTTTACAAATTAATCGAACGCAAAATCCTCCATGTTTTCATGATATGGGAACCGCCATATTGAAAATTATATCGTGCAACTGGACATTTGGACTACGGGCTCCGAAATTTAAAGGGCGCGGCTTTTAAAAATTTGAAGTTGTTACAAATTTTCCTGCCGAATTTTATGTTTTCTGCGCTGTTTTTTGGTGAATCAGAACCGTTTAATCGCTTCAGTTTACTTGGGGAGTTAATCCTAAACGACAAATGTGAAATTTGTAACGAAACGATGTAATTTGATATCGAAATTTTATGTCATACCAGTATGAAAGCCTCGTGTCGAAGGTCCCATATTGAAACGGCGTTTTCACGTGTGGTAACTTGTAAGCCCTTTTAAAGTTGTAAAGTGGTTCCTATCTGTGCTTATAAGGTAAACATTTATAACCAATTTTAAAACAAATTTTTTATTTGCCTATGTGAACTCTGAAAGCTAATGCTTATATATTTCAATGTGTATTAAATTCCCATGTCTCTGAATCTCTCTCCTCCGCAGAGGCTTTAGGGGCCGATTACATGGAGGTTTTCAGCCCGGGATGAAATTTCAGCCTGGGGCCCCTATAAATTGAATATAAAATGAATTTTACGATTACATGGAAAAAATTTCAACTCGGGCTGAATTTCAGCCCGGGTTGAAATTTTCATCCCGGTTTATGTCACCCGGGATGAGATTTTCAGCCCTGTCAACCGGGATGAAATATCCCATGTAATCGCAAATAATTTCAGCCCAGGCTAAAAAAACGTTTAAATTGCTTTATTTTGCGTTTCGTCTCATCTTTCATACTTTATATGCAACCACAGTCTTACACAAGTCAAATAGTCGACTAATCAGCGTTTTAAATGCTCAAACAAGTGGAATATTGCCTTTCATGATATCGTATGATTTCAGCCCAGGATGACATTTCAGCCCGGGTTTGTTTACTACAAGGGATAAATATAGCTCTGACTAAAACTCAGCCTGGGTTCAAATTGCCCATGTAATTGTGATGCTATTTCAGCCCGGTTAACCGGGCTGAAAACTCTCCATGTAATCCCCATAGTTGGCTATGATTATGATTATATATTGAGATACATTTCACTACACTTTACATGGCAGATCTAATGGAACACGAGTGGAGACGATGGGTGAAGGAGTGCATGTGGGAAAGGGCTGCCAACTAAAGCCTCTGTGGAGGAGAGAGCCCATGTGGTATGTCTTGAATGGATGCCCCCTCAATCAATATTGTTGGGGGGGGGGGGTCAAGAATAAATCTGAATTGGGGGGGGCTCAACAGTGGTGGAAATCTCGGGGGGGGGCAGCCACCCCCCACCTTCGTTGAAAATGACGAATTTTTGGAAGTGGGTTAAAAACATTACCTTTTCGAGTGCAAATGGGGGGTGTTGTTGGAAATTTGAACGTTTTGCTGGAAATTTAGAAGGCTTTGCCCCCCCCCCACCGGAAAAGTGGATTTCTACCAGCTACCCCCACTTCTGATGGCCTTGGTTGAAACTTATAAATATGCAGTCCAGTCCATTCAGACATGTCAGTTGCTCACAACTTTGTATCATATGAGCTGCATAAGACTCCAATGGCAATGAATGTACACACATGTGCAGAATGTTGGACTTACTACCGCCATAAGCATACAGAATTGATGCTTTCCAGGAGGACAGTTGGAAGTTTATAGCCCAATTTTTTGTAGGGGATTGTAATGAAATAACTTGAATTTAGCATTTTTTTTATAAATCTGCGAAATTTTCTTAATTTTTTCACCATTTGTTGAATTCCATGGTTTTCTAAAGTTTTTAGGAAACAAGTCCCCCTCCCCCCACCACCACCCCCAACCAATTAAACATACTGAAGAAAGGTCCCAACCACTGCAAATTAATATTTAATTTTTTTTTAAATATACTGCTACTATGGCACAACTCAAACTAAACCCCAAACCCTGCCTCTCAAAAGCCCGTACTAAGTCGCAGGAAAAAATTTGAAATTTCCTTTACTGTCGATGCAATGGAAGTGTTGATAAAATATTGCACCAATTCCTTTCCTCAAGTTGATCAATACATCTGATAGAAAATTGATCAACTTCCTGTTACTTTTGGATGGGCCAATTAGATTTCGTTTCAGAACCGATTGACCAATAGGAAACGCACAGGAAGTAAAAAGAAATTTGAATTCGTAAGAATTGATCAACTTGAGGAAATGAATTCATGCAATATTTTATCAACACTTCCATTGTATCAACAGTAATAGATTTTTTAATGGTTTTCAGATATTTACCATATATACTTTCATTATAGATTTCCCATATGGTAAATTGGTAAAAAGCATGATGTTTATTAGTGTGTTCATATTTAATGATATTTCCTCATTAATTTCCTGTGCACAGGAAAAAATAAACTGCCATTAATGGTAAATATTAAACATCATGATTTTTACCAATTTACCATACAGGAAATCTGTAATAACCAATTATGGTAAGAATTCAGTTTTTACATTCAAAAATCCATTAATGGAAAGTTCAATTTTTTCCCTGTGTTTAAGTGATTACAACCTAAGTTGTATAAATCACAAAGTGAAGTCACTTCTCATTTCTTGTCCTTTTTACTTTTCAACAGTTTCTCTGCTGGGTTGGCATCGTCATGCCACCACGGACTGTGTGGTTCTACTGAGAATGGATTCTCATCCCCAGACCCATACTCATAATCATAGCTATTGTCATGTGACCTTCCTCTGACATTGACAGTGTAATATATAGCGACGTATATAATTGTCATTAGTAACGCTCCACCCAGGGTGACAGTGATTAAGATGATATATACCCCTGGGACACGTACGGCAGTTTCTTCTCCAACTGTTGCGGAGTAGCCACGTTTCCGGGACTGTTTTTGTTTTGATGTGGGTCCCTTGTGAGAGTTTGTCGTGTTGACTTCTGTTTCTGATCTAAGAAACAGAGTAATGGCATGGTAATGTTAATTGTTAAGCCATTAATTATGCAGCAATGCATCTTAATGGTCTTAAGAATATTTAAATGCAAGAAAGAAATAATAAATAAAAAATGAATGGAAGGTACTAGGCATTGTCAAAACCACAAATGCTTCCTCTCGCCCGGAAAATATCCTCTTGGAGCTTTCTCTATTATGACAAGTTTTTTGTTCGATTTCCCTATTGAACTCCTATATTGTTAAAAAAGTGAAATTTCAGATTCCTGATTTAGATATAGGAAAAATTACATCATTAGAAAACTTACAAAAAACTACATATAAGACATTTAAACGGCTACCGCTTGATTTTGCAAGTTCTTCTTGAGTTATGAGCTGTTGGAAACGTGTTGTCAGACTAGTACCCAGGATTTTTGCCAGATTTTGGCCTATGGAACATCAATAACTCGAAAACCGCTTGAAAAATTTAGGTGACTGTTTAAATGTCTTATATGTAGTTTTTATGAGCTTTCTAGTGATGCGAGTCATTTTTGTTATGAGTGAACTTGAAATTTCATGTTTTTTAAAAATATGGGAGTAATACGGAAATCGAAAAAAAACCTTGTCATAATGGAAAAAGCTCCAAGAGGGATACATCGGGACTTTTAGTATATTGTTCAGGATAGTTAAGTGATTGCATCTAACAATTTTTAGCTTTTTACTATTTTTTTCCAACCTTGGCCTTAAAATGAGCTAAAATTTGCGCAAAAGAAATGCTGATCTTAAATGGCATGTTAAGTAATAGTGGTTTAAAGTCATCGAAAGAACTTGTTGTTTTTCCGTAATTTATTTGTTTCTTCCGTAATTTATTTGTTTCTTCCGTAATTTATTTGTTTCTTCTGTCTTCCGTTCCAGTTGATTATGGCATCTTCGAATTCCTATTTCTCCTTATAAAGATCTGAGCACGTTTGTAAATAAAGTTGTTTGACAATGACCCTGAAATAGAGTCGAAATATCACCACCATAATTTGTGTCTTGTTTTCTTTGAATAACTCGTATCTTGAGTTAACGAGATGGCATTATTCGTTGTATGCTTTTTTATATGTTAAGTATCTTATTTGTGGAAGAAACTTGGGAAACAATTACGCATACGCTCAAGAGATTCATACAGACAGTAATTAATAGTAGATTAAATAGAGATCATCCTTACCTTTTTGCTCCAATTTCTTTTTGAATTGCCTGACTACTGTTTCTTCTCTTCCCATTCAGCATTTTTTGTCTTATACTTTCACTTATATTTCCCAATGCATTATTTATAGATATGTAATCAACCCTGTGCTTCTTGTTATGACCCAATAAGGAATTTTTATTCCAATCCGGATCTCTTGTCTCTTTTTTCCTAGTTTCATTTGGACTCGAATCAAACATTTCTTTCAGTATCTTGTTTGACATTTTAATTTGAGGTGTGTTTTGTAGTGAAGTTGAAATCTCATGGTTGCCTGTTATTTCGGTTAACTTATTTTTGTTTGTATTCAATGAGTCATACTTTTTCATTTTTGCATTCCTAGGATTCTGTGATGTGGTATTCCTGTTGTTCGTTGTTGTATTTGACTTGGGCATCTGTCTTGTATCGTGGTGGATTTCTTTTTACACATATACAAAAAGGAAAAGAAGGGAATTATTAAGGTAAGGTAAAAAAGGTAAGATATGATATGTTCTTGATTATTTTGCAACACGGGTGAGGGGTGGGAAGAAAAAGGTAAATTTTTATACATGCATGGTTAGAATAATCTGACCAAACTTGGATCTATTGACTTGCACCTCCGGGAAGTGTCTGTTAACTCTCATGCACCCAGCACCCAGATTAGTGGTACTTCAATATTTTACTTCATCTAACGCACAAAAGTTTCAGAAGTCAAGTGGATACCAAAGGCATTGATAACTTAATTGACAACGTTTTACCTGATGTCGTGTTATCCATTTTGAAAACAGTTCCATATTTAACTATTGTTCTACACGTCGTCTTCTCATCAAACCCGTCGCCAGCTACAGCTTCTTCAACACATCTCCCATTACTAAAACACTTGTGTTCACTACATGTCTCTAGTTCCTCCGTAAGCAGGGTGATATAGGGGCCAAGTTTGTTATTCACGTAGTCGTTATATTTGAGACAGATCTCTCTTGATGTGCGTTCATCGTGATGGTTGCCCCAGAGTATTAATCCAGCACTACCAAAGTCCACTGTTTGACCGATTGCGTTCTCTAAATCATCCTGAAACATAGCCAGCAAATTTTATTACTAGTTTAGATAGAGCCAAAGTTAAAACTAAGCTATGTTACTTTATGTATATTGGATAACTCTGTTAGTTATGACTGTACTGTTGTCCTAGATATCCAGCAAGAACATTTTGTTTTCATAAATTTAGGCGTTGCTGGCACAGTCGTTAGAGTGACCGCGCCTTCTGAACAGTGGCGAAGCTAGCCATAACAACTGGTCAACATGAGCTGTTGCCATAGCTAGTTTTGCCTCTGATATCTGAGACGCCACATTCAGCTCCTAAGACATGCATTGATACTAAAATATATTATAGTCAACGTCCTCCTTAAGGTCGTGGTCTTTCAGAAACGGCTGACCTCCAGGTGTATTCCTAGTACAAAAAATACTCACTAAAGTTCTGTTTGCATATCACTGAGATCAGTGCCCTTACCTCATTCAACATTTTAAACTCTCGCGCTCCAAAATGATATAGAGGTCTTAAGTATGGAAACACTGGCAATTCATGACTATATCCGGGACCGTCTGTGATCCTGGACACTCTAAATGCTTCTGTCAGTCTGTCTGCCACATATTTGTTGTTATCGGAGACATCATCCATTAAATAAATAGAAGGAAATAATGCTGTGCTGCTTTTGAATAACCAATGTAGCTTGTTGTTCCATTTTTTATTCTGAATGGTAGTAACAATGAGAATGTTTTGGATGAATAAGGGACTGGTCATTAAGTAACTGCTAGGGTGGGCTGGAGGTAAATCACAAATTTTGCCAATAAGTTTGGTGACCCATCTTAGGATGTAGATAAAAAGATGAAATGAATCTGTCTATTAAATAATATATTTTAAATGTGCTGCAATTCTAAAATATCAAATGTATCATAATTAACTAAACCAAAATGATAAAAAGCATAGGGGTACGAGGCGGGGAAAAAATGGGGAAAATAAAGTGAAAAGCAAGAAATATGTAAGATAATAGTCGAAAAGCAAGAAATATGTAGATGTCATGCAAGTTTTGAGCAGTTTCAGTTATTAATAATAATCGCATCAGTTTCGTATTATTTCCTCTGATGAATCTAATCAACCACCCCTAACAAAGTAGTAATAATTCTATGACATCACTGATTGTAAAAGGTACGAATCATAGCAGTCAATGAATAATATTCAGTTGATATTTAATAATGAATCGAACAATCCTTAATGATCAATATATCAATTATTCAACCAATCAACTTACTTGCTCAGTACAATTGCCGTGGCAGTCTGGGAATCCATAAAAGCCCCATAATGCCCGTGGTCTCAGCTTCTTTCCCAGCTCAATTGTCTCAATCATCAAACGTTTTCCAGCACTTTCAAATCTTCTCTTTGCCTCCAGTCTAATTTTAGTTTTTTTTCTTAATTTTCCTTCTTTTTTCACCAACGCGATTGATTCAATTTGATACAGATGTTTCTTGCCAAAGTTGGTCTCCCAGAGAGGTCTCCAACCCTCCCAGTCTATTACCGCGAGGCCGCTGTATTGAGGTTCGGGTATCTTTTCCACAATATGTCGAGATGCTCTCTTAAGATGTTCTGTTACGTTCACCAGCTAAATATATATAATTATGCAACAAAATATTAAAATAAGCGTCCATATGGGCTTACGAGCTACAATGGGCAACCACACTCAGAAAGTTTAGTTCTCTGAAGGTAACTGAATGTCGTTGTTTGTATATCATGCGCATTGAAAATTCCCATTTTGTAAACGAGTATTTTATAAAATATGTTGGATCAATCAATTAATTGGTAAGCCAGTCATTCAATCTGCAAAATCAAACATAAATTATTCACCCACTTAATAAATGAGGAATCGATCCAGCATGCAATAAGTCAACTCGTCACCAATCAATTAGTTCTTCATTCAATCAATGAACGAAGACCAACTAATCGACATTCAACTAATACATTCGTTAATCAATCAACATTTTTCAATTGATGATTTGTGAAGATATCAATAAATTTGTCATTTAATCTAATCATTGATTAGTTATTCAATCAATTGATAAATGCATAGTAATTGTAAAGCAATCAATAAATTCAACTGTAAATTTTTAATCGATAAACCAATCGATCAATTCTTCAGTTAATCAACATCAATTAGCAATAACAATCAATTAGTTATTAAATCAATTAATTAAAATAATTCATTATGGATCAATCATTTAAATCGTCAATCTCTTAGGCGAGTAATTAGTTACGTTATTCAATCAACCAATTCGTCAACCAGAAATAGTAGTACAGCGCGGTGCCTAGGGCAAGTGCGCCATAAGCTCTAAGACATACTATTTTTAAATCAGCATGCACCAAGGCTTATGATTTCGAACAGACTAACAGTCGAACAAACTCACACAGAGAATATAAAGTGACAAACTTCGTTTGAACACCGCGATCATTAATTAAACGAAAAATACCACGTGTTACTGTACTCGATGAATCAACAAATTCATCAATCAATTACCAAATCATTCAATCGAAGAAAACCCGCACTAGATAATTGATCAATAACACAAAAAGGTTACAAAACCTATACCTGTATCTCACCTGAGGTAAGCCAACATTATACTTCCGCTTCCTATCATCATCGCGATAAAACGGATACAACCCCAGTTGTCCATTGTAAAACACTGTAACCACTTCACCGTCCCAAGTCTGGTTACTATTTGTCAATATTCCATACTTTTGCAGTTCAATATTGACGCTAAAATTAACGTGGCATCCCCCAGTCGGGGAGTTCCATAACACCACAAACGGTTTACCGAATTTGGATTTGGTCGTGCACCGACAAACTGCCGAGTCAAAGTCCAGAGATTGAACGTAGATTAGGTAACACAGTGTCAAAAATATGCGTATTCTTTTGCCATCTCGGTTAAAGTTTCCATAAAACATGTTATATGATTGCAATTTCAGAATTGTTAAAAGTCCAGTCATCCGCTCTGTAATGTCAATAAGACGATCTTCTATTGTGCAAGTTGCAAACAGTCTTCTGATAAATTAACTTGTTATGTAATTTGACTCTTTATCCAGCAACCTCAAAGCAGGTACCTAAACTAATAAAATCTTTCAAAATTGATTGTGTCTTTCCATCAAAGCAACAAGTTTCCAAATAGCTTTTGGCAGGAATTTCTAGTGTTCTTTATCTGGGTAAAATGCTCAATACTTTAGTGGACTCTTCTTTGAAGTAAATGATTTCGAGGTTGTGTTTTGTTCGCCAACAGCAAGGAATGGATAGTTCTTGGCTACAGGATTAAAATGTAGTCTATTTCAAATCTGTACATGTAACTAAATTTGTACTGACAATTAATAAGCACAGATCAGTCGCAGTCTGCCAATTTCATCGATTTTATCAAAACTCAATAGATTTAAATTTTTGACCTTTATTTAGATGAAATATCCACATGAATCTCCAAATGTCTGGTGCATTAATTCTTCATCTCAAGTCGATGATCCTTTAGCCAACTATTGTTTAATCCGTTGCCGTTATTTTAACAATATCCACGGATATTTATCTTCCTCAAATATATTTGTACTTGCCGAATTTAGATCAGCATTCAATCCTTAATGATCGTTTATTTTATTCTTCACTCAAAATTTGTATTCTTCCTTATAATTGATTCACTGGTCTAGATGACATCAAATATCGAGTAAAATTTATCTGTGTTTAAATATACCTTTCTCTTCGACTAATCTTCGTTCAGAGTGGTGCTTCAAAGCTAAGCTTGTTTCAAAGCTCCCTCTTATTTGATAAAACTATTCCAACTAGTTTCGTTTGAGAATCTCAACTTCAAAGTAATGATGTTATTTGTTAAGCTTGCTCATGCGTAAAGTCTTATTCAATATTTATGTACTACTTGTGGCTTGCATGCCTGTCAAAATAAGTTGTTTATACTGTACAGTTTGGCCTTTCACGCATGCTTCAAGATTCGTGACGTCCCATGCGTAAATTCTGTATGGAGTTTGTTTTCCAATGTAAGAAATAGAAGAAGTTTGAATGTCTTTCACCCGCCGCGGGATTTGATTCATGCATTAGCATGTACTACTATACATGCGGTTGTCTGATCGATTCAATAATTTCGCTTCGCAGTTACCTGTGGGATTAGAAGATTGCTTCAGTGATGAATATATTATTGTCGATTTCAAGTCACTTTTCAACGCAGTTCGTTGCGAACTTTCGTCTTTCATTTTTTTGACACAAACCCTATAGTTCCATTAAGCTGTCGACTGCATCAGGTAAATGCATGTGGATCTGGCAATTTCCCGTCCGAGTTGCATCCAGTGAAACGTATTCGAAATAGCTTATCTTAAACGTGGGAATCCATGCAGTGTATAGGTATATTATTCTACAAAAATTCACCTTGATCTGTGTTTCATTGAACAACCTGAAAAATATTATAAGCACTTAGCCAAGCGAATTCCTTCTCCTACTGAAGATTTAAAATTTGAAGCTAAAATATTTTCACTCATCCCTTACTATAGATTCAAGCTTGAAACAAGTCTTATGTATAGGTTATATATAGCCTGAATTTCGGAAAGTTATTATAAAAAAAAATTATTTAAACTTCGCCGGAATAACCTGAAAGAATGGCGGGGAAAGTTGCTGTGTTGATGAAAATTTCTGGGGTTGTAAAATTGTGACTACCCCTCCGTTGACTCCGTTATTGTCTAAAATTATCCAGTTCTATAAAGCATACTATATCAAGCATTTTCGATTCGGGCAAAATGATCGCGAAATCATGAAAATTTGAGGATGGTTTCGAATTGGTTCCTGTTGGTTCCGGTCCCCGGCCAAAATGAAACACAATACTCCAAGTTCTCAAATTTCACCGGCCCCACATTTTAAAGTCCGCGTTTTTATCTTGCCATCACATGACAATTGTTTGTAGATTTTATTGGCCAACAATGCTGGATAAATCGTTATTGTTTGATGTCGAACATTATATCAGATTTTATTATCCGGAGTTCCGCGAGTCAAGTACTACATTGACTACATTCTACTCTATTTCCGAGGTTCTTTTTCCCGCAACAGCGGGGCGCGCAGTATCTTGGTGTGGAACAATGCGAGGCCTGAGAGTCTTACCACCAGGTACAGAAAGACACGGAAATATGCGCCTTCGACCACAACAATACCACTTCAAACTCTGATAAACATCTGAAATTTGAATGACAAAATCGCTGCATATTAAAGCGAAATGAAATCGGTGAAGCGATAAGAGTTGAATAATGGATGTCTGGGGAATATGGCATTATTCGTAATAGTAAAAACTACGAATTTATTGTCAACAAATTGTTGACTCAAGCAGTCGTGAGCTGGAATTAAATCTGCAGCGAACCGGCTGACACTGTTTCAAAGCCATCATCCCGACTCATCCAAAACGTGCACACTACTATAGATATCAGATCAATGAGCGTGCATCACTCCGAAAGTGTGCGAGAACTATTCTGAACTATTTTGATTTCTTGGCCTGTGTAAAGATTTTTAAGGACTTTCAGAGACTTTTAGAGATTTTAGAGAATTGATCATGGGGATCATTTTAGGGAGTTTAGGGATGTTTAGGGGGTTTAGGACGAGATTCTCGGGGATTCGGTTACAGAGGTGTACGAGCTATTTTGGATTGATACATCCTCCCCATCATCAGGGAAATTGGAATATGATAAATGATAATTAACAAATTCATGGCAAAATGTGCTTTTTGCTGCTGTAATTTTTTTTCATCTGGTTCGAAAATAAAAACTCTCGTGCCATAAAACTGTTGATCACCGTTAAAAGTATTTTTGATTCCGTCAGGGAAATGTCATAACTTTACATTATTAAAATGTGTCCGTCAAAGTTTGGAATCTCGTATCAAAGTAGACTTGCTCCAAGTCTCTCTTTCATTGTCATATAGTATCGATCCACTATAGTGTACATTACATGACGTATTGACGTAGCATGGAGAGGCGGAGCGAGAAAGAGAGACTTGTCAACTTCGGAAAATCTCGGTTCAAAACTGAACCGAAAATGCAAGACTTGCTTTAATTGTTTTCCTTCAATTTCTTTCTGTATTATTTACTATAATGGAACTCGTGTTATTTACACTGTGCTAGATCAAACATTAAACACTGACAGAAAACAATTAAAGCAAGTCTTGCATTTTCGGTTCAGTTTTGAACCGAGATTTTCCGAAGTTGACAAGTCTCTCTTTCTCGCTCCGCCTCTCCGTGCTACGTCATGTAATGTGCACTATAGTGGATCAATACTATATGACAATGAAAGAGAGACTTGGAGCAAGTCTAGTATCAAAGTGACAAAGTGGTGATCGGTTAGGGGCCTGAAATTTGTTAGGGCCACCGGGTAAACTGTAGCTGAAAATTTGAAAAATTTACGCTCAGAAATTACATGTTTGCACTTTCTGACGCTAAATTGAGCTACTTGGACAACAAAAATGTGAAAAATTTGAATTATGACTTGGTGGGGGAGGGGGGGGGGGGCTAGCTTAGCGCCATAATGATAGTCTGCGAGCTTGGGCCCTCGAGCATTTTGCATAGTGGGGTTAAGCCTTTCCCCTGAAAATAGATAAGGCGATATCGAGATTGCTATATATATGACCTACATAAGTAGTGATGTTAATATATGCATATAGATACAGATAATATAGAAAATGGGTTTTTTTAAATAGGTCCTCTAAAAAAAACGTGTGAGCTCTTTTCTATATACAGGTGCTGCTAGTTCAATTCTTGAGACCAATTATGATGCTTCATTTGCCCTGGTTCCTACGTCATTTTTTAAATTTAAATACAGAGTGCAAAAACTAAAGCAAATTAAGATCGACAGATTTATACTCAGATAGGATTACTGATAATTGATGCAGACCTGTCAACCTTAAAATTTTAAAAAAGGGAGATTTCTCATTTCGCTTTTTAGCCCTTCAAAAAACTGTGAGATTTTATCAAAAACCGGGAGAGCGAAATTAAAGTCATATGCAGTGTTCAAAACAGTAAAAAATTCTAATCATTTTCCCGGCTTTATAATCATTATAATTACATTCGCTTCAACAACTTGTTTAATTTAATTTTAATAATGCTAACATGGCAGGAATGCAACTATATTTTTCGAGATCCCATGTTACATCTCATATCCTTACAATAATCTACTTATAGCTTATAGTGCGAAAGTGGATAAAAAAGCCGAACACTTGTAGTTCATGGAGTACGTTTCAGTTTGGACATGAGTGATTTTCACACGATTACTGTTTCTTGCCAGATATTTGAATCTGCAAAATATCCCATTACCTCATAACAATTACAGTAAAACAAGCAACCGGGAGAAAATACCTTGAAACCGGGAGACCGGAAGAAAAAGGTCAAAACCGGGAGTCTCCCGGCAGCAACTAGACTTGCTCCAAGTCTCTCTTTCATTGTCATATAGTATCGATCCACTATAGTGTACCTCACTATAGTGGATCGATGCTATATAACAATGAAAGAGAGACTTGGAGCAAGTCTAGGCAGCACCGGGAGAATTGACAGGTCTAAGACGTTGATGGCTCGATCAGGCAACGATTTTGTACATGTTTCGTGATTTATTCGTTGATATAAGATTGAGTCCAATTGGTTTTTCACGTTACATGGTTCTCCATGTAAATGTCGACACTTCCTAACTTGCAGGAGCAAGGAAATTCACTCTTTTATTTCTTGCTTTTAAATACAAGTACCGCACTTTGGAAACACGCAATGCGTGGAAAGCGCGTGGGAAACACGTGGGAGGTCCGTTTGCATCCGGAAATATTGCCTCCAGACCCGCGATCCGCATTTACGAGCCCACGTCTTTACAACATCTCCCCGCTTAGCTGGAATTTATTCCGGAAAGCTTGTGTATGTATACGGTGACAGCACTGAAGAATGCTCGAAGTTTTTGGCTTAATATAAACTAAAATGTCGTCGCTTCTACACGAACAGAAATCAAAATAATGGCCTTATTTTGGTGTGGCATATATAAATACGAACCAACGTAGCCATATACAATGATTATGGAGAAAAACGAGCGTATTATAGGTAAGTCAAAAATTTAATTGTTATGTTCGTGCAGTCAGCGTGATGTATTATTGTCCGGCTTTGTATCATGACTGTTTATGTTAAAATATGCTTCTGGTTTAAACGCTATCAGGCGAAGCCACTACACGCTATTAAAATACCACAAATGCTTACACGAGTTTTGGGATAAGATTAATGGCATTCGATGTAGCAATTAGGGAAATGTGCTTTAAGATTCATTCAGTTCAAAGTGTATAGTTTGAGTCAAATGATCAACTAGCTTTGTTTCGTGTTTAAAAAGTTGTTAAGCAGTGTAAAAGCTTAGCTTTATCGTTTCATATTCCTTATAAAAGCATTCTTAAGGTTATAAGTCCTGTATGTATTACATTTGGCTACATTTTAATGTGTTTGGAATGTGTTGTGTTGTGTTCCTGCAGTGTTGTGTATAAATATATTATGTTGCATTCGCTAATTTGCCTTGTGTTTAAATACAATGTGTTTCATATAATCCCAGTGTTTTGGCTAATGTAGACCAGTTGTTTATGCCAAAAACCTAGTTGAATCTTCTCTTCCATAAAATATATGTATGAAAGATGAGTCTTGTTCGCATAAAACAGTCTTTACGTATAAATAGACAGTCTATCTCCAAGTATAAAAGTGTATGTAAAAGTATATCAAAGGAAGACATTGACAGAATAGTTTGTTATTGGTCTTGCTTGAAGCGCCAAGTAGACATAACCTTTACGATTACAAAATTTCGACTGTATTTGAACAGTTGTGCATGATAATTTGAACGGATTTTCATAGCCAAAGGAGCAAAGATTGTTTATAGCTGACCGAAACACATTACTTTGACTCTTCTGCGATTTAAAAATTGTTTCAGTACTACTTGATTTAGATTTTTGTGTGGCAATGCTTGATAGTTCTAACCGATTCTTCCTATATATTGTATCATCAGTCGTGGCATAGCAACCTATAATATGACTCGTGTCTGTATATTGTTCAATCAATTTTTGCGTGTGCGCCTAAACAGTGAATATCATTTGATTGTATAGCTATAACACGTATTCTTCCTGGTTTGGAAGCGTTTCTACGTGAGGTACTGGCAAACGAAAATTTGAGCCCTGAAGCGGAAAAGCAACGTTTGGATTTTGTCAAAGAACTAGAACATCTTACAAAACCTCCTAGCCTCCCCCCTCGACCGACGAATTTAAAAACGCAAAGCCGTGCTTCTGTGGATTCTATAGACAGTGTCGAAAATGCTGATGACGACTTTGCATCTGTGCAGAGAAAGCTATCGAATATATTTTATGTGAGACGCGATCTCGACGAGTTAAACGAGCATTTTGTTAATGGATTTGCCGCAGATGAAGCGAACAAGGGGACGATACGAAAGGTAGGTTATTATATTTTGAAATTTGAGTCGGTATTTCATCAAATGCGTGGCATATTTTTGGGATATAGTCACTGTTTGAAACAGACAAGCCGTGTTGAAACACTGGATTAATGCGGTTTAAAAATAGATTTCCTCGCGTCAAAAATGTGGAGTTGTACGGATGAGATTCGCCCATCTTACGTACAAGTGTTTACACTTTAATTTGTATATATTGTGGTATTGTTTTTGCTTAAATTGGCGATATTTCAATACGTTCTCGAAATAGAATGTTTGGGCGATGGTCTGACTCGAAGTCTCGAATTAGAACTCTTTGAAATCTTCTCATTCGAATTAAAATGGCCTAAAATCTTTAGGAAAAATTCTAAATTTCTAATTCGAATTAGAACGTTTTGGAATATTCTAATGCAATTCGAATGTTAGGTAATATTCTAATGCCAGTTCGAATGTTTAGGAAATATTCTAATGTGAATTCGAATGCTTTGGAGTTTGGAACGCTTTCAAGTGTTCTACCCGTCTGGCGACAGTGTACATTTCACAAACCGCGGGAAAATTTTTGTCTACCTTCAGTCAACATATCACCTCTATAAAGACAACTTTTTGACACGCAAACGTGTCGTCTCCGGAACGCACACTTATAGAACACCACTAAATATTTATTGAGCAATTCAACGAGAAGAAATCAGCGACATTTCGAGTTCAATTGCGAAAACGGAGAAAACCGGGATTCGTAAGCCGGTCATTGTTGCATTTTGGAATAGCGCGAATAAAAATAGAACATTTTCGGGCTGTTGCCAATTTCAACATGATGCTGGGCGGAATATAATAAACGAATTAGTGATACACTCCATGTGTGCAGAGATATTATTCAATAATGCCCAGCCCTGTTGAATTGGCCATATTATTTGTTTCTGCTTTGTTATTTATTGCTCATTTTAACAATTTAACCGAAATCATGCTGTGTTTTATAGTGTTCGTGTTTTGTCCGTAATTACCCCCTACCGATGCCGCCACATTGCTTCAGTAATGTAGATCGAATGCAGTTTGGCTGCAGGCTTGTGCGTGTCTCTGATTTACTCGAAATTTGAGCTTTGTTTTAAAATAATCGTCTCAGTATTTTTATTGAACTTTGAAACGTGAGTGTGGGTAGGGTATGTTTCTTTCACTTTGAGTCTTTGGGGCTCGTTTCCTGCAGCATGGCATTGCAGTTGTGACATACTGATATCAGTGACATGTAACAAGAATGATTTCAATTTGACCCTAGCAAATACCGCAGGATTTCTCCCGCTCACTCCAGTTTCCTCATGTAGTAACACTGAACCAGTATATCAGAGATGACTCTTGCTGCATCTACAGGGACATGAAAGAGCTATTTCAGAATTCAGAATGGATTTTTCCAGAAGATTATTAAGTACATTCCGCGAACAATTTCAATTGTGTGCTCAATCAATCGTCAGGCTTTTAAACAAACAGACTTCTTTTGAAACACACATTGAATTCATAGCTTGGATTTTGAAGCGTATTCGACGATTTCCAAATATACAACCCCAGAGCAATCCTCTATTGAATAATAATGCCTGTCCAACGCAAACGCGTTGGTGTTTACCAATACACTCGGGTAGAAGTTTTTAATAACATGGACCGAGGAACCGCCTTCGTTCGAATTGTGTTCAAATCGCTTTTCGCCTTTTCAAAATAAATTCGCTTGTCAGGATATTTGAACGACCACAATAGAATATTTTAAAGTCGCCTGTGACAACCATGTCATTTGTCGCAATGCTATCCGTAATTTATCTTGACGGATTTTATGCTTTTTGGTGGATTTATTTTTCCATCGGCGGCTCTTATTGGGCGGCATCGCTGCGCAAAGGTTAAATGCCGTCGGCTTGTATCGATAATGAATTGAGCAGCTTTTTAGTTAAAACTGAGGGATACTTTTAACGATAGATTTCGGCCCTTCAGTTAATGTAATGTTGTGATATTGGGCCTTGATTTGAAATAGTTGTTCTTTGTCTAGTGCATGAGAGTGGCGTCGACATTATATGAATTTGGAATTATGTTTGTTTTTGATGTCAAAATTTGCTGGCTTTATTTGATTTTATAGATGCTCTGTCATTGTTTAAAAAGAGAAAATCCATACAATTTATTTTGGTTGTTGATAAAGAAATATTTTATTCAGCGTGCGTACATGATTTTACATATGAAAGACGTCTTTCAATGTGTGACAGTTTAACACGCAAGAAAATTTGATGCCATTTTTAAAGGTATATCAAGTGTATACTCTTTTCTTCAGAAATCTCATTTAATTTTGGCCTGGGATAATCCATTTTATGAATTATAGCTGTCCTGGATATGAAAAGGCCCTATAAAGAACAAGGCAATCGACATATACTTTAATCGATCCCCAATTTTATAAAAGTGCACTTTTAATTTCCCTGAATTATAAATTTCCCCAAAGCATAAACTTTATTCAAATGGTTTGCAGTACATTTATATGTATAGTGTTTGCAAGATAGTGAAAATGTTGACCAAGCGTTGCTGTGGCGATTCGGCCGGAAATTGGATGCAAATTGCCTTTGGCTCTTAGACATTTTTGGTTTTTGGACGAACGCCATGCTTTGTTTGTAACAAAGACAAGATGGTTAAGCGCCAAAATAGGAATACATATCTTCAAAAGAATAAGATCTACATTGATTTAGAAAATAGACAAACACTATTGTGTTTGAACTTGCCTATCAGCTATCTGTCTGACAGACCATAGAAAAGTCGCGTGTAGGCAGGTCATACGTGGGTTACGAGGTTGCAATTGTCTGAGCAACAAGAAGGAGGAACATCTTACATTTTTTGCACATCTTACATTTTTTGCACATCATACTTTTTACACGTCTTCAGAAATATGAACAATCTTCAAAAAAGCCCTTGCCAAAAATTGCTAAAAATTCCCCAAATTCCTTTTAAAGGTGATCTACAGTCCGATATGCACAAATGAGCCCACTTTTTATGATACAAACAGTTTAACTATGTTTTGAGTTCTTGAAAAGCCTGATTGTTGTTTCTTGATCATTTATTATACTCTAGAAGCTTGAAAATATAAATAGTTGTCGAATAAAGCTCAATATTTTGGACACAAAAATGTAAACAAAGGCTTTGTTTACATACGGACTGTAGATCACCTTTAAAATCTCACAAAAATCCATGAAATCGAGCCAAAATGAACAAAATCCCTGGTTTTGAAGAGCGAAGTTAATAGTGAAGTATAGGCTATATACTTGACTTTATTTATATTTTATGACTGCATATTAATTACACTACAAACAGGAATTTTAGACGATAGAATTATAAGTCTATACGACCAATGTTCACACGCAGCCGGGAAAATTCAAAACAATGCATGCGCAAATTCGTCAGATCCCCGTTTGTTCACACGGGAATTGCCAATTGGTAGAGTTTTAGATGTGTGTCCCAACTTGTCCGGTTTGCTGCGACCTGTGTGAACGCGCAAGGCGCCGCGAAATCATGCGAATTTGACTTCACCCGATCCCGTGTGAACGCCCTATGTTCTGGGGCTTGGGGCAATATAGACTTAGAGACTGGTCATAAAGTAACTGCTAGGGTGGGCTGGAGGTGAATCACACATTTTGCCAATACGTTCGGTGATCCACCTTAGGATGTAGATAAAAATTTCAAAGCCCATCTAATCTTACAAAATATTTTTCATGACCCACCCAATCTAAATTGGGAAAATACACTTTTGTAATAAAAAAAAACTTGCAGGTATGAACATTGTAAATATACACGGCAATGTATTGACATACATAATTCCACCAAGCTTGACCAACACATTGATACTGAGCTGTTCTCCAGTTGGTTGTATTTGCTGTGATTCGAGCACTTCTTGTTGTTGTATAAAACGAAGTACTGGCTTCAATAGCATCATTTGCATTTGATAATTTGGATAGTTTTGTAATTAATACTTTATTTTTTGAAGTAGACATGCATGGGTTTTTGTTTGGTGGCCCAACCGTGGACATACAAAAAAATTGGCGGCCCATCGACACTGACCAAAATTTTCCATGGCCCATCCCAAATCACTCCAGCCCACCCTAGCAGTTACTTTATGACTGGTCCCTTAGGTGCGCGATTGTCAAAGCAAGCCTCTTTCATGTCTGAGATCGTGGATTCGATTCTCGCTGCAGACGCGTACGTGAATAGAATCAGCCAACGCTCTGCCGACAGTTGCGGGCTTTTCCCAAGTACTCCGGTTTACTCCCACAGACCAGGGATGTTGACACTTGACAGGGTGGGTTGGAATTAACGCCTAATTGACCCTTGTACTGTGGTGGTGCATGAGACGCGAGTCGCAGAGGCGCCCTTTGGAAAGCCTTGGCTTTATTTAGCACGATCCAATTAGATTGAGCTGCGTTCTGCGCATATTAACTATGAATTAACTTAGCTGTCATGCATTTGCAACCGAGGACGATTTTACCCTTATGTACCCTCATTTACTTGCATACTTAGCGTTTACACTGTACCGTTTTCGTAGCGTTCTTGTATTGTTCGACAGAACTAGACTATTGTCTTGCGTTCCCTTGAGGATTAAGAACAATACGAGAACGCTACGAAAACGGTAGTGTAAACGCTGCCTTACTATCCATGATCGGGCTAATGCTTTAATATAATTCTTAAAACTTGGGTCTGACAATATAATCGGACCAATCCACGTTTAGGTCGGACATGATCGGACACTAATTATGTTTAAAAAAAAGCATTAATCATTCATGAGGAAAGGACAAAGGAAATGACTTCCGTACGTGTCAGTGATTTTATATGTGATAAAAATCATGTTCATTTACATAAACTTTAGCTTTGATTTTCCTGGCGTAGACAAGGTTTATTTTTCAAATTTCTTCGCCAATGAACTCATAAGATGGGTTGTTTTTTTAAGCCATTTTAAAACACTCTTGTTTTATATCTGATAAAGCACTCGTGTTTTAATTATTAAATAGTACAAAGATGACTCAAAGATAAAACTGAATTTGTACAGTACATTGCATTTGCAGAAATTCAATGTGATATAGAAATCCATTTAATATAATATACCTCAAGGGCCGGTTGTTCAAAAGCTGGTTGACTTAATCCCAGGTTAACGCAAATTTCAAAGCAATCTTTCCAACTGAGTCTGTTTAGAAACATGAAGATAATTTTCCAAGATTCATATATGGATCAATAGAAGTTTTATTTTCCAAAGTTTTGAAATAAACAGATGTGCAAATGTGCCCAAACTAAAACAGTGGGTTAAATTTTAACCCAGGGTTAGCGCTAACCCAGCTTTGAACAACCGGCCGCAACACTATTTATGCGAAGTTGAAAGGAATTTCAATTGACAAATCTTGGTTTAGTACATTCTAACTATATAACTTTATGTACATGTAACAGATTGGTATCAGATTGTGTGTAACAGATTAGTAACATATTGTGTTTTGGTTTTGCACGAATGAGGGAGATATTGAAAAGAATGTGGCAAAATGATCGGTCATTCAATTGTCTGATTGATTTTCAAAGTGTTTGAAATATGCCATAAACCTAAAATTGCGCTCATTTTTTGCGCGGTGAATTAGGTCGGAATTTCAAGAGTCAAGTACATAATTCAACTAATAATTTGCGCAATTTTGTAATACGAGCCAAAACTTCCCTTTCAGACACAGGTCACGAAATTTCAGACTGATACAGACTAATTAAAACTAAGGCGTGGTAACATTTTGACGCGAATACACCCTGCCATCCCAATAAATGAGTCTGTGGAAGTTCTTTATGATAAGGAATATAGTCTTTCTTCGTTAAGTTTCCAAGATAAGGTGGCGCTGTGGAATTTTGGGCGAGGTGTGGAATTTTCAGATAAACAGCCAACTGCCAAACCCAATTCATGATAGCCAAAATATGCCAGAATATAAGATTTTAAACAATTAAAACATCCCCACCCACATTGATATAGGGTGCGTGCGTGCTTTGAGATCAAAGCGTATTTGTCTCATTCTTTGTTTCAATAACGGAGAGGCGTAGAAGGATAAGTTGCCTGACACTTGTTGAAACCTGGACACAACCCAGCATTATCAATTACTGAATAAAATTAAAATTTGAACAAAAAATATGAATACACACCCCCGTAGCTATACAGCCCTGGTTACATTGTTGTAGTTTTAATATGGAACATATAGTGTCATAGAACAGAACAAAGGTAGTTAATCATTAGAATTAGGTATAGTTACTTTTGTACGAAATTGTTTCCGTATAAACTAAGAAAGCCATCAGAACAAGGCTGAGATTCTCGCTGACGCAGGAAAATCTTGACTCATTGACTTTGTGCAAAACAAAGGATATTGCACCCCGGCGGACGAACAATGAATATAGAACAGATTATTCTCCATCTTGTCATGAGTTCTGATTAACTGAGCTTTTTACTTTTATTATAAACGTTCTGAAACTAGTATAGTGGGCAAACAGGACGTGTGTGCTGTGAACATTAACCGCAATTTGTTTTAAAAAAAACAAACTTTATTTCGCATACTGAATTTATAAAAAAAACCAGTAACATAACACGGAAATAATCCATCCTACATTCATCCTATACTTAAGCCCGGCATCGAACCTTCATTTTGTCATAGTTAATAGAGTAGATGGTTTGGAAACTCATTAGAATAACAATGTAACTCATTATCTATGTTAGTCAACGTTTATTCGGCAAATATCTGGTCGTTCATCGTCACGTGCGTATTGTATTTTTGCCCAACTAACCAATAGCAATGTCTTAGGAAAGTTGCCTATCCGTGACTCGAACAATAGGGTAAATTGAGAATTGCTATTGGTGGATTTGGCAAGAATACAATACGCACGTGTGACGGTGAACGACCATGTTTATGAATAAACGTTGGCTAACATAGATGAGTTATATTGTTATTCTAATGAGTTTCCAAACCATCTATTCTGCATGTTAACTATGCATGATTTTGTTAATCCAGAGGTCGAATTGTCCCCTGTAACAGTGCGTGAGTACGTGACTGCCAACTCTCATAAACTCTCATCCTTTGCGGTTTTTGTTTTTGTTTTAAATCAGGCTTTATTCCCTCATTTACTGTACTCGCATGAGCACTTGAAAACGTAGACCACGTCCGAGTCCAATAATCTAATCTGACTTTCTTAGGTTCCCGCAAAAAGTGGCAAAAGGACAAAAACAGGAAAAGGGATCTATGAACCACTGCCTGGCACTGGTCCCGAGGCCGAGCCCGATTTGGAGGCGGGCGTACTGAGCGAAGAAGAGACGTCACGGATTCACAATCGTTCTCTCGCGCGGGGTACACACATCAGACAGTCGCTGAGTAGAGGAAAATGGTAAGTGAATGAATAGGATGTGAGAGTGTGTTTGGGGCGGATTTGCATTCAGTGCGGAATGTTGCGCGATCGAATTTGTGCGATCGCTTTTTTTTTGAAATGCAAACAGTCAAGCGGAACAAATCACATTAACTGTAGTTGACTGGCACACATTTCGAAAGAAGAATCGTGCGACATTTTGCACTGAATGGAAATACGCCTTAACCATTCTTTCACTATAAAGTAACTCCACAGTCCGAAGGCTAAGAGTGTTTGAACAAGACAACGAAGTATGCAGACGTACTTAGGCCTGGTTTCTATATGCTCGTAATGGTCGTAAATAGAGTCACGATCTTTCTCAACGGCCAGTTTATAATACTTTATACCTATAAACCACATATAAATCATAAGTATTCTCTAGTTATAATCACTCCGCGTATTTTCAGTTCTAAAATGTTGTATTTCGGCTGATGGGAAAGATCATGACTCAATCTTTACGACCGTTACGACCATATGGAAGCCAGGCTTTTGATAGATAATCAATTTAATGAAATCATCTAGCAGCCATCAGGGCCGCAGAGAGGGGGGGGGGGCAAATTGCCCCGGGCCCCGAGTTGCTGGGGGCCCCTGAAAAATGTTTGTTGGGCCCCAGCCTTTTTTGTGTGTGGGCCCGAGTTGCTGGGGGCCCCTGAAAAATTTTTGTTGGGCCCCAGCCTTTTTTGTGTGTTAAATATTTCCGCGCAAAGGACAAGAGATCTGTTTTTTGGGCTAAGTACCGAATTTTGGCATGAAAAAATGAGATAAAGTCCCTCGAAAGCAATTGCAACGTACTCGTCCGGAAAAATTTTGTACTCCGGAAAAAATTTTTGACCCCTAAAATGGTACACTGACCAAAAATATTTTGGCGACGGGGGGGGGAGGGAGGGGAGGTTGTTCTCCGGGAAAAAATTTTCCGGGAAAAAATTTTTTAGATAGGGGCCCCTAAAAAAAAATTTGCCGCGGGCCGCCGCCAACCTCTCGGCGGCCCTGGCAGCCATAGAGCTGAATTGCATGATTTACATACAAAGCATTTTTACAACTATTTACAAATCACTCTTTTGTCACCTTTTTTTTGTAAACACCCAAACGTGATTACCTCTGGGAGTTTGGATATCTCGAGTTCTCGTCCAGATTATATGGAGCTCACTGGACGTACTTGTCACATTACCTGAGGTCGCTGTTGGTTGCTCAACGTGTTATAGATTCATGTCTCGTTGTCTTTGTTTATGAATACTGATCCCAATCCTTACCCTGACCCAGACAAAACATGAAACTGTATCCCGTCTTTGTTCTTCTGCCTTCGTTCAGTACGAAGTTCAAGACGAATTTTGCCAAAATATTCGTTCTGAACGAAGACAGAAGAACAAAACGGAATATGGATTCCTGTTTTCGGAGAACAGTTCAAACAAAACTGCATGGTATGGGCAGGGGCCGGTGCAGAAAATCTTTGTTAGCTATTTCATGTTACCTTGGGCGACTGACCTTCCAATATTTTTGAAGATTACATATATCATAAACTGAAACGTTCTTTGCAACTGTATAGGGTTGAAATGTTGCGGTAATGATCAGTTTAGTCATCTGTACTTATGCATGATCCTACTATTAGACCATTTATGTGACCATTTATGTGGCTCCAACATGAAATATAATAGCTTCGGTATATCAAAATCTTTTATTTCAAGTTATATCCTTTCTTTAAAAAAATAATTGAAGAATAGATAGAACTAAAAATAAATTTCCATCATTATGAGACCTTTGCTAGACCAATAGATTGAACAGTTTAGAATGGACCATTTGCATTATATATAGACTAAATTTTGATCTAGACAAAAATTTCATCAAAGCTTGAAAGAGCATCACAAAATTAGTAATATTCCAAAGTTTCGTTGCGAAATGTTGTAAAATGCGGATAATATAGCCTTGCGAAATTTGCAATTTTCAGTCATTTTGTATTACAAACGGGTGTTGGGACACCCGATTGGGCTGTCAATTTCCCGTGCGTAATACAAAATGACTGAAAAACGGCAAACTTCGCAAGGCTATATTATCCGCATTTTACAACATTTCGCAACGAAACTTTGGAATATTACTAATTTTGTGATGCTCTTTCAAGCTGTGATGAAATTTTTGTCTAGATCAAAATTTAGTCTATAATGCAAATGGTCCATTGATGATGGCAGTCACTCATTGGTATACGGGGGGCATTTCAAGCTATTGATTAATCAAATAAGCTCAAAACTAATGAACATATACCTTTTCACTTGGAAAATGGTTGGCGCACTTGCCTTTCACCTCTGAGGCCGCAGGTTCAAGCCTCAGGGAGAACTTTCTCAATGCGACTCGAACCTAGTCCTCATGTGAAAAGAGTAACGCCCGTTTTCTAAAAACTCACTCACACTCACACTCAATGAGTGGAGGTTCAATCTGAGCTTCTCTCGAGTGTCAATGTTGTTTTTGAATAGCTGGAGGGTGAGCAGTCACATAGTAAGGTACGACACTAGCCCTCCAGCTATTCAAAAACAGCAATGATACTCGAGACAATCTCAGATTGAACCTCCATTCATTGAGTGTGAGTGAGCTTTTAGAATACGGCCGTAAGAATCAACGCTCTGCCGAAAGTCGTGGGTTTTGCCCGGGTACTCGGGTTTCCTCCCACAGGGAAAGTTGACAGGGTGGGTTAGGTAAAAGGGGCCCACAGCAACCGGCATATGCTGTTGTGGTGACCCTGCCCCAGTTGGCAAAGCTAAATAAATAAATAAAATAAGTAAATAAATAATTTTTTTACATCATTCATTTCCATCATTAAGAGACCTTTGCTAGACCAATAGATTGAACAGTTCAGAATTGAAAGAGCTATCTCGTAAGATTACTTCAACAGGGAAATGACAGTCAATTGTATCAGTAATCTCCTCTACTGTTTTATGTCCAAACAGGTTTGCAAAAAAAGAAAAATCCATTTTACAAGAGGTTTACGCCACCGATCTTCAACTGCCAACAATCTCCGGTCATCTTATGGAAGTGAGGACCAACAAACGTAGATGGTGTGTCTTGAAAGATCAACATTTGTACATATTTAAAACTCAGGAGGAACCAGCTCTGTTTCAGATCGCTTTGCCAGGTTGTGATATATCTACTGTACCCAAGAATGATAAGACCAAGGTGCGTGTTTTAGAAAAACGGATATGTAAAAGTACTGTTCATATGATATGAGCTTGCGCAACTAACCGTGAAACGCATACATGCATCGGATCGGATTGGAGGTTTACAATCCAACAATAGATTATTCCAGCGCTAGCTATAGACGAAATTTTTATCTAGACAAGAAGAATTAAATATGGTAATGACCATAGCTGGAAAGAGCATTTTAAAAGGAGTAAAGTGTCAAAGTTTGGTTGTGAATTGTTTTATATAATGAGGGAAATATAGCCCTGTGAAGTTTGAAAATTTTGTATATATTAATTTGCATCATACGCGCGGTGAAAATAACCATTTTTGAGCCGAAAGTGGTTATTTTTACCGCGCGTAATACAAATATATACAAAATTTGCGAACTTCACAGGGCTATATTTTCTTCATTTTACAACATTTAGCAAACCAATCTTTGCAGTTTTACTCATTCTAAGACGCTCTTTCTAGCTGTGGTGTTGGTTTTCGTTCTCCTTGCCTTGATCAAAATTTAGTCTACAGCTGGAATCACCCATTGGTAGTAACTTTTTGAAATCCGAATCCGATACGAAATTGTATGTCAGTCAGTCAGTCAAATCTTTATTTAAGCACGGTAGCTTCATCAGGTCATTTACAAAAAATAGTTATGTACATTCATAAGTTAAAAACATTTTTCAAGCCTATGTTACATTAATATTTATACCTGTTTTCCATGAATGCCGTGTCTATCGAATATGATGTTTCAACAATTGTCGAAATTCAGTAAGAGATTCCGCTTGTTTTATATTGCTAGATATTAAGCTGTTCCATAACACTGCACCACTATAGCTAAAGCTATTTTTAAGATAATTGGTGAAGGAGAAGCAAGTTTGTTCACGGAGTCTCGAAGTATATAAGAAGTTACATTATTGCGATTAGTAAATTTAGAACATAGATATTCGGGTGCAAGGTTATTTAAAGATTTGAAAACCATCAACGCTTTTTGAAATTGGCGTTGTTGGTTTAGATCATACCACCCTAGCTTTTCCAATAAGCTATTGCCCATGCTATAATATATTATACAACATACAACATGACTGCATGTTACAGTCTCGATATATGATTCATGATCATATTTATATTCCACAGGTCAGTTACTCATTCAAAATCACTCAAGATGGCGTCGCCGCAGTCATACTTGGCATTGAAGAGGAAAAAGATTTATCCGCCTGGATGAATGCTCTCATCACAGCTTCAGTCGCCAAAAATTACCTCAGCCCCCTGGCTAAAGCCAGTAAATCACTGCCTCGCTCCGCGCATACACCCTGGAACGAGGAGGGGGCTGCAGACGAAGGTTCTCAGTCAAGGAGGCACACTGTTGGACCGACCTCGAAAATCACAAAAGAATCGTTTATTGAAATCGATATTGGAACTTACGAAAAGCCGACCGATATCATGGTAAGGTTGTTTTGACTTTACTTTAAAGTCGGGGCTGGTCGCACAGTGGTTAGTTACTTTCTACATCTGCGATTGTGGTTCTACCACTGCGATTGTGATTACAACAATTTGCAGTTGTCAAACATTTATTTGCTAACATAACGTCTCTGAAACGCAATGTGATATGTGGAAACATCACAATTTAGCACGAAGCCACGTTCTCGCACTAAGTATTTGCTAACCTGTAAACAGTTTCTGGGAGTTTTTTCATTGTGTTTTTATTGCCGTTATGGCTATAAAAAGCGACTAATTTGCTGTTTTCTCGTTCGCAAAACTCCGGTAATTCTTGCGCCGCCATCTTGTTTTCTCTACTGGCAGGATATGAGCTGATATCCTGCTGGCAGAGAGCCGATCAGATTGCAGAATGGCTTATATCCGGTAGCTGTCCATATGCAGACGTGGATATTTACATGTAGAACGCGCACGGCTGCTCCAGGGGCATCAGTTGCCTTAGACCATTCAAGAATCATGGAATTACCCCAAACTGGCTCGGATCTAAGCACTGGTTTAGATTTTAATAAAGGCACCACGTCTACATACAGTCTGTAGGAATTCGGCAGTATTTTGGAAATGACTTATCTGATCGAATGTACAAACTGGATCTCTATGGAGAACAGTTTTGAATAAGATCAAAGTAATCTTACTTTTAATACTTTTGATTTTTTTTCTTAGGGTCTGGCAGCATCGTTGGACACTATCAACTACAATCCACCCCTCCCTCCCCTCCCTGGGGAAATATCCAACATGCTAGAGGAAAATGGCGATCACGCACATACTCGGCCGTTGTCGAAATGCTCCGGCATTTATGAAGAAGTCGGCGATGAATTTATCCACAAGTACTCCATGAAACACCAGGATGACCTTCCTGCGGACGTCATCACCGGCGATAACCATGACAACGCTAATGACGTCAGCGATGAGGTCACAAATGGGGCTTCCGATGTCATTACGAATGGTCGCCGAGGCTATTCTGAAGTTGGTACGAGTGATAGCGAGTATTCATCGGATGACGAGGAAAATAAGGATGAGAATGGGAACAAGAGATTGTTTCACGACCGCTGGGCAGTACATAGTGGAGTGCTGTATCAGAAGAGACAGACTGGTTGGAATCGACGATATTGCAAGATTGTGGATAACTGTCTGCGTGGATTTAGGTAGGCATCATTTTGGCCGCAACCGAATCACTTGTCAAAATATCTTCGAATGACACATCATGCAGGAATCTAACCCAGGGTCTCTGTTTCGACATATCTCTGACAATTGAGCTATTGGTTATATTTATTTAAGACTTTCACACGGGAGCCAATATCCGCCAATTTTAATTGGGGAACAGTCTTCCCACGTCAGAGAATCAGGACAGTCTAAACCATGTGAAAAGCAACTTTTCAAAGTTGTAATTGTAAATCTACCATTATACACACAATTACAGTGAGAAAATGTAGCATTTCTGATTAGGGAGAGGTAGTTTTTCTTCCTTACACGAGCACTATGAGGCAAAATGCCGCCAAAATTACTTAACCAATTTACGGGTGACGTCCCTGTTGACAAAAACTTCCCTTGCTTAAGCTCGCTAATACAAGACATTCGCATCCGATCTGTATCTAACATGATCGACTGGTCATTCTTTATATATTACATATATAGCTTTTACAGATAGGATTGTGGCATAATGTACGCTGATCCAGGAATGAATGATACCGTTTATGTTTTCGATGACAAGATGCACCCTTAATTCTGCACCCCATCGGACCCACCATTTTTGCTCACCCCTTATATATGTATATGTCATTGTATGGTTTCGAGTGCAATTTGGAAAAAAAAACGTACACGAGTGAGTTTTCATAGACGATCAAAATTGTACGAGTCCGAAGGACGAGTGCAATTTGAACGCCCGTATTCTAAAAGCTCACTCACACTCAATGAGTCAGTGAGTGGAGGTTCAATCTGAGATTCTCTCGAGTGTCATTGCTGTTTTTGAATAGCTGGAGGGTTAGTGTCGTACCTTACTATGTGACTATACTCACTCTCCAGCTATTCAGAAACAGCTATGACACTCAAGAAAAGCTCAGATTGAACCTCCACTCATTGAGTATGAGTGTGAGTGAGCTTTTAGAATACGGGCGGAAGTTTTTGAAAACCTCACGAGTGTATGTTTTCCAAATTGGACGAGAAACATGCTATTGATAAAAACATACTATTTGATAAAATTGCACTTCTGTTAGCCAATACGAATGGAGTAATTTGTTCATTTATATTATTTAACTGTATAATCTTTGTTCTGTTTTACTAAGGAACCCCAATGACCTTACTCCGGTGCTGGAACTAAATCTGAGTGCGAGTAACGTCCGCGCCGCCGAGGCTGAAGGCAAGAGGCGTTTCATCTTCCAACTAAACACAGCCGAAAGTGAATCTCTGTATTTCAATACGGACACACAGGAAAGCATGGAGCGCTGGATCGAGGTCATTTCAGTAGCAGCGACCTCAAGACTGGAACATTCCGTCACGATGTCGGAGGATGAGTTGGATGTCGGAGTCGGAGATGGTGAACCATCCACCGAGGAAACGTCCGAAGATCGTCATGGATCACGCGACAGCATTCCCTCCCCAGTTCCAGAGAGGAAGGAGTCGCTGAGAAAGACACGTGTCAATGGGGATACCTTGGAGTCGGAAGAACAGAAACGGTAAAGTTTGCCGACATTAGTTGTATAACATAAAACTTTTACTTCAATCCTATTTCAGAACCATCCTCAGAGATATGAAAAACTAGTTTCATATTATTTATTGTAGCTATCGTAATTCTATAAAAAAAGTTAACTTTGGCTTTTACACAACTGCCCCTTCCCCCTTTATATCTATATCTTGAGGCAGTAGCTGCCATCTGTCTAGAATATTTAGAGAGTCGACTGTCTGTCTAGAGTATCTGTATTTATATAGAGCATTGCTGTGCATGCATGGTGATTAGTAAAATATATCTTTAGTAATTTTAACATAATTGCTTGCCTCACAGGGATGAAAATGAATCGTTGCGAAATGGCCAGTATGACAAACCGGAGAAATTAATTGCGGATAAGAAATCTGAGACACCAGTAGCAACTACTAAAATAAAGGTATAGTATTTTCTATATAATTTGATTCGCCAAACAAAACAAATTGTTGGTTTCAGGTTTCCGACCGATCTATTAAAAATGTCTCGGACTATAAACATTTTATTGATGTGATTGCAGAGTCTTCCCTCTTTTATTAACATTTTGTTAACATTTTGTCTGTCTTAACAATTTCTACTCATGTTAATGATAGTTTTAAATAGTTTTAAACTTGAATGTGTTGGTCTACATTTGTCTGTACGTTTTACCATACACAGTACTTACACAGTATTACTTATTGGAAAATACTATTATGAAATAACATGTTTTCCAACCTGCCTACCCTTATAAATCATGAAACCTGAAACCAACTTTTTACTCAGACAACCGTGTGAAAGTTTAGGCAAATTAGGCAAAGTGTCCGCCACTCTGTCCCGCCAACATGTAGGAAGGTCACCAAGGTTACTAAAATAATCACAAGGTTACTAAAATAATACAGATATACAGATATTGCACAGCACACTCCCTATCAGGGTTTTTCGGTGACTGGTTACATTAGGACCGGAACTGGCGTGAAGCAGACCGAGGTAGACTGTGAGCTTACAGGTGGCGCTTTAAGCGGCCGCTATTAGTCCATACCTCGTTAATGATCTGCCCCCTGACCTATGTGTTTCACCCACCCTGTCAACTTTTCCTGTGGGAGGAAACACGGAGTACCCGGAGAAAACCGACGACTTTCGGCAGAGCGTTGACTTTTGCTCTTTTCACATGAGGACTGGGTTCGAGTCACATTGAGAAATTCTCACTGATATTTGGGCCTACGACCTTTGAGGTGAAAGGCAAGTGCGCTAACCACCTCGCCACCGAAGCCCCACAATCACAAGGTTACTAAAAGAATCACAACTAAATTGTCCTTCACATCTTTCAGGAAAAAGATGATCAGGAGATCTGGAGAAAACGCGACCCCCATCCATCGTACGCAACGACCCCTCGTGCAAAACCTGGCACCAAGATCACGAAATCAGCATCTGTCAAAGAATCTCCTAAAACAGCCAGCACTAGCAGCCTTGATTTGTCTGAGGGTTCTCTAAACTCGCCTCAGAAAAATTTGCAACTTTCGAAGAAACGCAAGTACTCGGAAAGGTTGAAGAAATATTTAGATCAGGACGGTCAGTTCAGTGGGTTTATTTTGGAGCTGCGTGTTAAAAAGAATAGCACGACTTTAACCAGGCGTTGGGCGGTGGTCCAGAATGGTTTCCTTCGTATTTACGAGAATTATGGCTGCGCTGCGCCTTTTCTGAGAATTTCCTTGGTAGAAGCGTTTCTCAAAGATTTCAGCAACGTTGCAAAATCGAGATTTTGTTTTATGCTTGAGTACGGAGCAGGGCAATCTATTTTGTTTCAAACGAACACACATCAAGAACTGAAGAGATGGATTAATGTTATTACACTGACCATAGCTTGCCATACGGATCTCTTCGGGTCAGGATGGGATCTCACGCAACGGGAAAGGATAGGAGACCTTGTGGATGGCACGAGTTCACTCAGTAGACCCGTCAAACCAAAACAATCCAGATCTCAAGACGAAGTCGATGGACCAGATATAACGTCATCCAGTGACGTATTCAATTCGGAAATGACCTCCCAAAGTGGCAAATGTGAGTGTCACCATGACGACGAAGACATTACGTGTACACCCACCGTGGTCCGCGAAGCACTTTACCGGAAGTCGTATAGTATGAGCAGTTCTGGTAGCATTAATAGTGATGACATCGTTTCGAGAAACGCAAACGAGTCTTTCACGTATCGAACTTCTCTAGTCCACAAAGTTAAACAACGCGGTTATTTGCGTGTACTCCACAGGGAATCTTGCGATGAGGATGCGCGCGAATCTCGCGAGAGTAACGTGAAAGAATTGCGCGAGGGTTCTGTTCTGCAATTCTGTGAACTCAAAGGAAGCTTGTTTAGTATCTATGAAAATGAAAAGTCAGAGAACCCGAAACATGTGTTCAATCTGCTTTACGACAACTACCAGGAGGTTCCGAATGTGGCTTTCACGTTTACGTTGATTTCCGACCGCGCGGGAACTGCCGAGTTTGGATGCGAGACTGAGCAGAATTTCGAAGCCTGGAAACAAGCCATGAATAACACGGCATTGCAAGATGGCAGTAATTCTGATCTGACGGCAAAATCCTGCCGGAAATGTGCTAGTAATTCGCCTAATGTTCGAAAGCGAAGCTCCTTACGTGCGAGCTTTGCCGAAGAAGAGGCGAAACATCGCGAGGTTTTACGAAGTTTAACCGACGATTACACGAATTGCGATCAGAGCCAGTATAGTTGTTATGTATACGAAGTCCGAGACTCGTCAGGAAATAAGACAATCATTCGCCGATGGTGTGTAGTCGATGGCGACCTAATCCGAATATTTGAACGGGAGACTTCGAGAGAGGCTGTAGCCGAACTGCGGCCGAGCGCGTTCCGATTGAAGGACATCGAGAATCCTCGTGGTTTTCCGTTTGCATTCAAACTTCAACGCTTGCTACCCCATGAAGGTGAGGACGAATTTTTAGTAATTCAAGCTTCGAATGCTAAAGATTTTCGGGAATTATTACTGCGTATTAAAAGTGTCCAATTAGAAGGCAAGACCTTGATTTCCTCGAAAAGTGAGACAAATATAAACGCACCAAAAAAGGCGCCATTAATTCACTCGAAAAGCGACCTCTCCCTAAAGCGAATCTTCGCATTGACTCGGAGAATTTCGAAAGACAATCTCGTTGCCGACACCAATCCGCCAGGTCACGACACCTGGCCGAAGGTTATCCGACGGGAGCGTAAGTCGAGCCGACGCGCCCTTAGTGATACCAGCACAGATCGGCCAGCTACAAACTCGCTTATTGAAAACTCGCGTGACAAAGCTGAAGCAAGGAACACCATGGGATGCTTTTTGTTCGATTCTGAGGGAAAATTCAGCGGATATCTCACAGAGGTGCGGAATAACGCCCTTTGTCGAAGCGAGGTGAGGAAATGGTGTGTGGTCCAAAACGATAAATTTTCAGTTTTTGATGACAAAAACTCGAAATCGCCCAGCACAGTTATCGCGTTGAACCAAGACGCGCAATTGGTCGATTTAAGTCACGTGAATCCAAACAGTTTTGAAATACGTGTGGCCAGCGGTGTCCAATATCACGTCTACAAAGCAGCTGACGATTTTCAAAAATGGCTAACGGTTTTAGCACAGGCCATTGGTGTGTGCCAAAAGGACGAACAGGGTACCAGTACTGGAAGTTCACAGGTCAAAACTTCCAAGAATGGAAGCGTACCTGGTAAAAACCCGGAGGGTAAAAATGCCGGTGGAAAACTTCGAGGTTCAAGTTCGCAGAGCGCAACTTCCGAGGCACCAAAGATGAAGCGAAAGTATGGTCGGAAAGGTAATTAATGTGAGTCAAATTATATTGTGTATTAGACAAAGTATTAGGTGATTTGATTGTTATATAACACTGGTATGGGAATTTGTTGACTCAGAAATTATTGTTTAGCCCAGTTTGTACTACGGACAAACGGCTCGTCTAGAAGAACTTGGGCAAAGAAAAGATAGCTCATCTGATAGCTCGTCTTGTTTTAAACATGGCAAACATGAAAACGGGTGAAAGTCTCCCAGCTTGTCAACAAGATGTGTTGACACTCATTGTTCAAGACAAGTCTGGAACAAGTTGTTATTATCTTGTAACAAGGTTGGTGAGCCAAACAGGCTGGTAACAAATTGTTCCAAAAAGTCTGATATCGTCTGCACGTAACAAGTTGTTAACAAGGTGATGACAACAAGCCCGTAGCAACTTGTCACAAACAACCTGTATTAGTCTTGTTGGATTAACTACAAGCAAGTTTGTTACCGTCATCAACCTTGTGACAACGTTATAACAACTTGTTCCAGACTTGTCACAACAACTGGTTTTACATCCTGGTTTTAATACAGTCGTCTTGCAGGCAAGACGTGTTCATTTCGTAGAAGAATCGTAATATTCTTGCTGCCTTTATTAAAGATCTGCGAGAAGAGAATAATATCTGAGTCAACAAATTATTTTAAAGCATGCCAGTTGTGTTGTGTTATATTCGGGTTAAAGGTCGATAGTCTAGTTTTAAATAACATGGTTGATCAAAAGCGTGCGTTTGTCTTGCAATTTGGAAAACCGCGCATTATTGTGCGTTCCAAAATTATTAGAATAACACACGTCTAAAGGGTAAGAAGAGCTATTTAATGATGAAACAAAGTATATGCATATCTTTTACAAAATAAAACTATGTTTTATCCAAATTGCACGAGAAACAATGCGCTAATACCTAATCATATACAAGGAAATGTTGGACAAAATACCATTGCGTGTTAAATGTGGATTAAAATTCTCTTCTTTTAATGAAAAGTGCAATATTAATTGGTACATCTTCAAAAAGTTTTTATCTCTAATTTATTTGTAAAAATGTCCAAGTATGTCCAGGAACCTATGTTCCTAGGATAGATTTTGGGAGCGTTTCGAAATTTCTACCGCGCGCGAAAGTGGATACAACCACTTCTGGGCGTCATATTTGCAGCTAGTTTCCTTGTGTGTGATTTGGTATTTTTAATTTTATAAAAATAAAGTGTAGGTATAATGTGCAACGTTCAAAGAAATGTAGGATAAAAGAAATATTTTCAGTAACTTGCACTTTGCTTAATTTATTAAGCTTTTACAAAAGAAGTATAATATTAGATAGTGTTGCTATTTAGTATAACATTTTATAATGTTAAGATTTGTCTATTAATTTATTATGAATTACTGATTGATTATGTGAAATGAAATGTAATGATTTTCTATTATAAAATAATTTTATACAATCTTTGTGTGATTGATGATCATAACTATTGATTCCAATTGATTGACCTAATTACTAATTGGTTGATCGTCTTGTTGATTAATTACTTATTTTATTGCTTGATTGATTGATTTCTTGACTAAATCATTAGATTCATCGATTAATATGCTGGTTGATTTCGATTTATTGATTTTTAATTGATTATCGATTGATTTATTGGTTGATTAATTATTGATTGATTATTGACTGGTTATTGATTGATTATTGATTGGTTATTGATTGATTATTGATTGGTTATTGATTGATTGATTATTGATTGATTTATCTTTCTCTCCTAACGTCACATGACATTCTGTGTTTCTAGATAAACCTTCCCAGACTACACCGAGCACTTCGCAAGCCGAAGATACCGCATTTTGAACACTCTGAATATTTATAGAGCTTTTAAAACACTGATGGGTTTACAAACTGGATCGACTGTTGGCTATTGTAGAATGGGTAACTACTTCATCTTGCACAGATATTTTGGATCCGTGCACCACTATTCTTCGACAATGTTTTACACTATTTAAATAATGCACAAGGATCCAAAATATCAATGCAAAGTGAAGTACCTCCATTAGAATGAGAGATTTACCGCCGATCTGTTACTTTTTCATTTGAAACTAGTGTCCATGTAGTACTGATATGCCCTTTACTATTTTATTCTAATGCAAGATGATTTCACACATCAATTAGCCATGCACTCCAAGAATTCCTGATTAATAATCCACCCAACATAATCTGGTTAATTCAACCATATAGCCTGGATAAATTAACCAGTCCCAAGCTGGGTTAATTTTAGATTGAACAGGAAATTTCTAACCATGGTGTTTTTGGAGTGTAGGAATGGGCTCTTACAGTTAAGGACCGTTAATTATTTTTATCTGGAGAAACGTAAAGCAAGATACCTGAAAGTCGTTAGTATCATTTTTGCCAGCTATGAAATATTCATGCATGCATCAACAATTCCAACACAGTCTCCGGGATAAATACCCTCATTTCAGAGGCTCTTTGCGAGGCGAAAGAAACGAGAGGGGAGAAGGAAGAGCCTCTGGTCACATCGGTTGCAAATCACACTTGATTAGGTGAATCTTGGCCATTTGTAAAAATATGTCAAACCGGTTTGGGAAATAAACATTACTTTAATTAAGCTTACAGTAATGTTTATTTCCCAAACCGGTTTGACAATATTTTTACAAATCGCCAATCACGTACCAACCTCATACCCAGGGTGTTTGCTCTTGGGGACCGAAATACCCTGGTATGGCCTGGTCACGTGACCCGCGGATTTTGCGTAAAATGACGTATTGTTTACTAGGGTCGGGGGAGTGAGTATACATTGTCACTCCTAGTAATTAAAATTTAAAAGCGTGATATAATTACTAGGAGTGACAATGTATACTCACTCCCCGACCCTAGTAAACAATACGCAGGCTTTCTTGCGATCCTACTTTTCCTACTTTTTCCTACTTTTCTTCAACTTTCCTACGTTTCCTATTTTTTATTAAAAATTGCTTGATTTTCCTACTTTTTCTCATAAAATCCTACATTTTAAGACCGCTTGGGGAATCAGTATGTTGTAGCTCTCGTAATTAGATCTATAGGACTAATTTTTATTCCCTATTTGTGACCCAGAGGACAAGATCTCAGGAGGAGAAGTACATTTTCCGAGTATAAAATTTCATAGCATCTCTAGAATCATAATCAATAAATTAATGAAGACTCTGAAAGTGCCATTTCCGACGATCTAGAGATTCCAAATATTCAACTCCCCCCCAGTTAATCAAGCATCATATATACAGGGCCGTAGCAACCGGGGGGCTGCAGCTCCCCAATAATTTGCTAATAATCATTTTTTTTCAAAATCATGCAGACCTTTATCATTTAATCCATGACAAACTGCAAAGAATGAAGATATTACCCATACTTTCCTGCAACTTATCCAATATATAGTTAATTAAATACGCCTTCGCCCATTTAGTACTACTAAATTGTAAATTTCGACATACTAAAACGCTGTTTTCTGACCATTAGAATTCTGTCAAATCTTCCCCAAAGTCCAGGAAATGGCATTTCAGAGACTCTAAATTTAAAAATTTCCTCGGGCCTTCGGCCCTCGCTTTTAGACCCCCTCCCCAATCGAAAAGAGCTTTCTACGGCCCTGATATATGCTCCTGCCGTAGTGTGGATTGGTGCATTGTGTAGCCCAATACATGCATTTGAATTGTGTTGCTGCAGAGCAGATGCCTTAGCTTTTATACCGATGCAATCTAAAAGTTTTGAGAAAAAAATCCTGCATAGATGAATGACTACATAAAAATATTGAGCACCAAAAATTCACACAACTTCCCCGTCAGATATCTAATGGTCTACCCCTTACCACATATATCATAGGGCGCCAATTTTGTATATTTTTGTGTTATTTGCATCTCCAAAACTCCTACTTTTGTCCTACTTTTCTACACATTTTCCTACTTTACTCCTACTTTTCCTAAAATTCTAGTCCTACTTTTGTCCTACTTTTCTACACAAGGATGCCAGAAAGCCTGAATACGCCATTTTACGCAAAATCAGCGGGTCACGTGACCAGGCCATACCAGGTATTTCGCTCCCCAAGAGCAAATACCCTGGGTACGAGGTTGATCACATGCGAGATTCAAATTCTGAGCCTAGTCAAGTGTGGAAGTGGGATTTGCAACCGATGTGACCAGAGGCTTTTCCTTCTCGCCTCTCGTTTCTTTCGCCTCGCAAAGAGATTCTGGAACCAGGGTACAGGATAAAAAGGTGAATAGCGTCATTTGTCAAAAGTGCACAGATATGACGATTCAACGGTACCAATAATTTAAATAAAATTCAATTCACTAACAAAACAATATGGTAACAGGAAAACCAATCAGTTCAATGTTTTAGAGAATGCTGCTTGAATTACTATATTTTATTATTAAATAATCAGTGACGATGACCGTGATCCTGGACAGATACTAGCTAGACTTGTAATTAATATATTTGGTATTGCTAAAATCTAAATGTTACAAATTTAACTCTACTGTTACAATGGCTGTTGATTCTGACTATGCTGTGTATATCAACCTCATTCTCAATCTTTGATTTATTGTCAAGAAATAATATACCTAAACAATTTCTCTTTGCTACAAACCTATTTAGGCGGAACAACAGGCGGAAACCGTATAGTTTGATCAAAGGCCGTTGAGGCCAACTCGCGGTTAAGATCAAATGAAAGTGGGCAGAATGAATTAGAGTAGTTTGCTGTTGTTTTTGCAAACCGGACACCGTGCGAATTTTGCCATTTCACCCATTTGTCGTGCTTCATTTGCCAAATCAAAAGAAAGGTTCTGCCGCTTCTGAAAGGCCCGATTCGCAGGCAAACAGTGCGCGCAAAGCAGGCTGGTCATTTCCCATTGTTTAACTGCCCCACACTCAAGTAACCACAAAGACTCGCAGACACAGATATTGCTTCGCAACTATATCCGTGAGTCAAAAATGAATAATATATCCCAGCAAATAGTTTTTACACCACACATATTTTATAAATTTTTTTTTTTTTATCCTTTAAAATTTTGAGAAACGTTTTCGTAATTTAAAACCATTCTATTCTAAATTTATATATAGCATATACTTCAAAGCTTTAAAAGTGTTGTACTGTTTGCAACGAAACGTTAGTTTTGTTGTGGTATATAGAAATTATTCCTCGCTGATTCATTCCATGTAAGGGACTGGTCATAAAGTAACTTCTATAGGGTGGGCTGGAGGTAAATCACAAATTTTGCCAATAAGTTTGGTGACCCATCTTAGGATGTAGATAAAAATTTCAAAGCCCATCTAATCTTACCAAATTTATTTCATGACCCACCCACCCACCCACCCAATTTAAATTGGGAAAATACACTTTTATAATAAAAAAAAACTTGCAGGAATGAACATTGTAAATATACACCGGCACTGCATTGACATACATAATTCCACCAAGCTAGACCAACACATTCATCACCAATTACGATACTGAGCTGCTCTCCAGTTGGTTGTATTAGCTGTGATTCGACCACTTCTTGTTGTTGTATAAAACAAAGTAGCCTACTAGCTTCAATAGCATCATTTGCATTTACTAATTTAGATAGTTTTGTTTACTTTTATTATTATCTTTATGTAATATATAATTAACATGGGTTTTTGTTTGGTGGCCCAACCGTGGACATACCAAAAAATTGGCGGCCCATCGAAACTGCCCAAAGATTTTTCATGGCCCATCCCAAATCACTCCAGCCCACCCTAGCGGTTACTTTATGACTGGTCCCTAAATCCTACAGGCATAATTAATGAGACCCATACTCTTCCCAGGCCGAGAACATTCTATAGACCTCTACACTATAGTATAGTGAGTATGCACATTCTTGAGTATGTTGGGAGGCGAAACGCCTGGCATCGTATGGTATGGTTTGTTTACGTTGTCAACAAAACAAAGAAATTTCGGTACACGCAACAAACTCTTTGTTTTACAGTTACAGATCGAGGGAAAGCACTATAAGCTGACTAGACACAAGTCTAGTATAATCAAGTCCAAATATCCGCTTTGATAACAGAAATGTAATTATGACAAGTGCAAGATTTGTGCCAAGAAACACGCCTTAATTCTTAAACAACATACTCGAATGTGGCGCATTCACCACTCGAAATGAACAAGGTCAGTTAAGGGTACTCCAATTAAAATTTGCCATAAACTATCTAAATACAACCTTAATTATAGAATGCAAGGGTTTTGTATAGATAGAAATTATGAGTGTAAACTGTATACATTATTCATTAATGGCCTTCTTTTCGTCCAGGTCAGGTCTAATAACATGATTTGTTCTATCGCGGGAGATGCCCAAAATCCTTAATTGATTGAATTGAATTTATTTGCCACGCGATAATTATTTACAGTCACACAAAAGTATGAAAATATATAGTCAGTGGCGAGGTGAAAAAAACCCGTTGGGCTTATGAGTCGAAGTCACCTCATTATATAATAATAAGTTATTACACATTACAATACACGATAACAATTATATAATATCTTATATAATATTAGATAATCATTATATAATAATACTAGTTATTACACATTATAATATATGATAACAATTTATTAATTACCACTGAGAACTTGTTGGCATGATACAACAACTGTTAGAGGTCTTTGTTAGTGGTTGGATACTGCATATTCCTATTATACCTTTTTCCATCCTGTCGACACGCCGGGGGGGAGGGGGGATAGTCATTCCAATTTTTGTTTCAAATACTTGTATTCCTGCTCTTGTTATTCCTATCATCAATATTCTCACGGAATCTTTACAATAAAAATTATTCTCTTGTTCAAAATAGTGTTTAGTTTTTCAGTGTTGACATCCCGACTCTTCCACAGGCGAACAAATTAAGCTAGACCATACAGGCACAAATTCGCAGGCGTTTGCTGGTTGGAGCAATAGGACGCAAAGGCTCATGGGAATATCATTTAACGCGCGATGCGCGACTGGAGACGAGTCAGAGTTCCGTCGTTGTGCTTCAGCTTTGCATTTTCTTGCTACTCTGCTTCCAACGCTAGATTCAGCCTGTATGCACCTCCTTTTATACTAACGGTTCAAAAGATCTTTATGCACGTGAAAGGTCAATGTTCATGAAACCTCAGGTAGATGTTCTTTTTGCACAAATGTGTCTGCAAGATAACTATAGGAACAGTGCTGTAACAGTTACAGTTTATTTGTAACTAGTTACAGTTATAGTTACAGTACCAAAAACATAACTAGCTAGTTACCGATACAAGTTACAGACGCCAAAGTGTAACTAGTTACAGTTACAAAGTTACAATATATTTTTTGTAACTTAGTTACAAAGTTACAAGTTACATTTATTGATTGCAATTAAGAACGCATACAATTCGAATGGGCCGAATGGTAATGAAACTTGTGGCAAAATTATTGGCAAAATTAATAACTATTTACTAGATGTATCTGCATGCATCTGTAAAATTCCACCAAATCGATTTTTTAATAGAGTTGTAAATTAAAAAAACTCAGCTATTATACGTACAGTCTGAACGAAATAGATTGAAAAAAATATCAAATATCCCTCACTGGCTAGTGACTTCTGACTTCGCAATGAAAAAGCAGAAACGTGAATACGTGATCATGACTGGGCCAAGGCCAAGTGAAATGAAGCCAAAGACCAAATATGACGAGGCCAAGGCCCAAGTGAAGGCGGGCGACGGCATTCCGATCAGTTCCAACTGTACGTAAATTTGCCGTCAATCCTTGACTTAAATTTGTGTCTTGAACGAATTCTGTTGTGTCAGATTAAATATTCCTGTGCAGATGATTAAGAGCTTGCCTGACTGTGTATTGATTTATTTCATTTTAAAAACGTACACAAATAGCAACGAACAAAATGTAACTTGTAACTTTGGCAAAATAACTTGTAATCGTTTCAATAGTTTATGGCATTTTTTGTAACTAGTTACCGTTACAGTTACATGTTCTCAAAATGTAACAAGTTACCGTTACTGAAAATGTAACGATTACTTGTAACTAGTTACTTTTAACGAAGTTACTTACAGCACTGTATAGGAACCACATCCATTTCATATAACAAATTGTCATACATACCCTAATGGAAGAAATTATGACTGTTTTACGAAAGATCCAGATCTTATATCTTGTATATACTTTACTTTCATTTGTAGCAAAAAATCATCAATCTCCTTTGTAACGCAATCATATTATCAATGTTCAACGTTGTTCTATCACATTACTGCTTCTTTCTCTTGTTCTTATAACCTTGGTGAAGCAACCTATTTTTCAATATCGCACAATGTTGTCAATCGCCATTTTTCAATCTTGTTATCATTCCAAAACTCGCACTTTGTTAGAATTGTAAAACTGTGGAACTATGTATGTAAATCTGCTCCTCCCAACTGCTACGACACTCTTTCCAACTTTAAAACATACCTACACAAGACTTATCTCCACAGCCACTGCTTACACTCCTGACGAACCAAACTCGCACTCTTTGATCACGACCAACTGACATCTTCCACTCCTCCATGTATCTCTTTCTACCTCTCCTCTCTTTTCATCTACTGTGCTTCTAACCTTCCATCTCTCTCTTCTATTTCATATATTTTGTAATTTTGTCTGTTCTGTAATATTTAGTGGTGAACACCCTGCATGGGACATGGTCTCGTTTGTGCTTCACCTCTTTTGGCACCTGTTTGTTTGATGTTATCCATATGTTTCACAAATGTAATAGTCTATATGTATTATTCATGTGTCAAAATAAAGCTAAATAATTAACAATTATTGGATGAGGTTTTTGTGATATGAGGAATTATCAAGGTCGAGGTAAGCGTTATCAGCCGAGCCGAAGGCGAGGCTGATAACGCTTACCGAGCCCTTGATAATTTTGCATGATCACAAAAACCAAATTCAATAATTGTTTTATTATACATTTGTTTAATTTGTTTGTGTTAAATAGATACCGCTTGCTAATCATCGCAGGCTCTTTTCCAGATAACTCAGTTATCTGCTAGCAGATAACTGAATTTTCTGTAGGTTGCGTGATTGCGCGATTTAACTGTAAGCTCTTAGCCAATCAAATTGCTTTTACCAACTACAATGTATAATAATAATAATAAACAATCTCGCAACTCTAATTGCGAGGTTATATACCTTGATATCATATACACAAACGCACAACAAATCTGCAGTTGACCAGGCTTGTACCAATCCTGTTTCAACAATTTGTTATCGGGCTGTGCATGCAGAGGCGCCGGAATATCGATAATTGGGAGGGGGGGGGGGCAGATATTCTTATATTCGTGTTCTACCCAATTAATTCCCTTTGAAATCGATTGTTTTTACAGTCTGTGAAAACGAATATATGAATATCTGCACCTGCAATTATCGATATTCCGGCGCCTCTGAGGCTGTGTTCGCACTGCTTAAGCTTAACACAAGTTAAGCGCTTGCTACAAGGTTGTTCCAACAACTTGCTATATTTTGTCTTGCAACCACCAACTTGTCAACAACTAGACAACAAGCTGGGAGTAGAAGAACCATGCTCAATGTTAAGCAAAATTATTTCTTGGTATATGCACGTTTCTTTTCCCGTCCGTTGGATGTAAATGCAGTATAGATAAATTCTGGATTTTGTTATGAGGAGCGATGGGGTTGAAAACTCGGACGTCAAAAAATGCTCTCTTTGCACGCCAGGGTGCTTATGTGCTAAGCGCGCTGGTTCATAAACTCGCAAGCGTTTCGAACAAATGACTGCAGAAAATTGGTAAAACATATATATTGAACATATATATAGTAGCCGGCATCTTAAATTATCATATAACATCGAAATTTCATCCTCGATATCCATTTGTTCATTTATAGAAACACTAAAATATGTAGTCTAGCTCCGATTTGTATTCATTTTTCCCGCAAATGAAGATGGAAACATCGCTATAGAGTATAGTAACGATGGCAAGCTCGTTACCAATCCTCTGCATCACAAATCGATCAGCACGTTATAGCCGTTTCACCGCCATAAACATCCACCGTCGAGTTAATTGTTCACTAGTGACGGGGGGAAGAGATGGCTTAACTATTTCAAAATTACCACATATCGATCATTCGAGATCTCGGTTGCTGTTGAGTTCATCTAGTTTCTATTTACATTGTGGTTAACACCAAATGATTTTCTAGTTCCACAGTGAGGAAATTTCTCGAACAGGCACGCGTTGTTCACTTACCGCCCCCATTTTAATTGGCCATTCATTTGTTCTTGGAAAGTTATTTTTAATTTCTATACAGTATATTGCCCACTACTTCCTGTGCATGTGACTGTGCAGAATCGAATCTAATTGCTTCCGGATTCGTGTTGGTTGCGTCATACGTCTTTGTGTGAATTGTGTCGTACGTGTTTTTGCAGTTCTGGGCATAATCATTCTTCTCTAAGGGCCTGTTCATATGGGCAGAAGTTATCCCGGTTAGCGAGAAAACATTTCGACTAGCCAAATAATTTTGTTCTGTTCATATGGAGAAACGTTATCCTGCCTACCGGGTAAAGTTTTCGGCTGTGTCGTGGCACTGAACATCAATTGAATTGAAAAGTTGCTGACACGACAGAAAGTTATCCCGCTAAGCGGGAAAGTTGTGTTGATACGGGAAAAACATTATCCCGGTCACCGAGATCTCGCCTGTCAACAAGCGAGATCTCGGTACACGGGAAAACTTTTTGTCTCATATGACCGCAGTGTAACTTTTCATATTATTTTCATACCAAGGCGAGATCTCGCTTGTAAACTTGTCGAAAAGTTTTCTCGCTAACCGGGATAACTTTTGCCCATATGAACAGGCCCTCAGGCCCGACATGCAGAATGGATTATTTAGGTGTAACAGAGGCATTGGAGAAACGGGTCTTGTCATCGTCGCGCTCTTCTCGTGCACCGGACCTTGTCATGTATTTTATATATTTATGTAAATGTTGTAAATGTTATCGAATCTTTGGAGTTACACTTGTTTTGTATTTTAAATGGGATTTACTTTCAATAGTTTTTCACCAAACTCCCAACGGCAATTTTTATTCGATTCGTATTTGGCCATTTTTCTCTTATAATGATAAAGAAAAGAAATGAAAAGGTATCATTGGACAGCTAAATTGGACAGCTAAATTTTGCTGTGTAAAAATGTAATCGATGAAACGTGTTATCAATATCTAACGCACGTAACATGCTGAAGTTAGATTACCTTTATTTTTATACACGCAGTATCACATGCAGTTTTGCTGTTGAAATAAATTTGGATTGTTCGAAGGGCAAATCCCTCTAGCCGCAGATAAAAGTCTCGCACACTTCGTCGAAAAGTCCTAAAAGCCATGAATATATGCTATACCAAAGTTTTAAAAAGTCCTAAAGTCCATGAATATATGCTTGCCAATGGCAATGGTAAAATTTCATAAGATGTATTTTTGAGATCTAAAATTTACGTGATACGTCAGAATTGATTGAAAATCTAATGACATGCTCGGTAAACCTTGGACTACCGTATAAGCCCTGGGCTTATATTCTTTCGTAAGCGATTTTTGATGGGCTTACACAAGGGAGCTTATATACGGGGGGCTTATACATGGACGATCTTTTTTTGGCCATCGTCGTCGTGTTGCCGTTCTACATGCTTAATTAAGCTCCCTAATATGACGTCAATAGAGTCCCCGCTGTGGACCTGCCCTTCGAAACGTGATCAGTCGGTCCTCATGCGCACCGTCGGCTAATTATCTATCATTGTTATATTATCGATAGTCTTATGAGTTATATGACTAGCTTATGACTAAGATTACGTAACATTAAAAACTACAATTATAGCTATGCCTTTAATGAATTAAAAATATTATGTATTATACAACTTCGTTTTTCTTAGTCCTAAGATTTATGTTTTATTAGTGGGTAACAGTAATTATGTAATTTAGTAATTATGTTCAATTAGCCTTTTTCACGATGACGAATATCCGCCATTTTTGAGTGGCATCCAATTCTCGTCAACCAATGCAGACAATTAAAACAATATGAAAAGCAATTTTTCAAAATAAACTAACCAGCAAATTTACCATCACTTGTCCAAAAAATTATAAAAAGTCGCTGTTATGTGGACTTATCTCGCAGACGTCGGCTGAAAATGGCGGCGCGAGAAAGGCTATTCTGTGACGCTCTGATGCATTGACATTGTGTGTATTCATTTGAAAGAATATTATTAAATATAATCTATAGTCAATACCGTATAATCAATCTGTACAGTATAATTAATTTGTATACTTTGCCTTCCTTTCCATTCCTTTCCTTTTTAACTATTTTTAAAAGTTGATCTGAAAAGTTGCGATATAAATATTAGCGGATATAAAAGTTGTTATCCCCCTATTCAATGAATAATATTAACATGACAATAGTAAAACTGATGAACTTGTGGCCCACTGCTGTTTTAAGTTTAATTGTTTGGCATGACAATTAGAGATTAATTGGGTTTTTATTTTTGTGGACTGTTTTAAGTTATAATGCACAGAGCCGGCATAGGTGGAAAATGTGATTTCAAGCGCCAATTTTCAATCTGCTCGTATTTGGACATTTTTGCTTGAAATATCGGGCACAAAAAAGGTGTCATTCGTAACCTAAAACCCCAATCTTTATTACTGTGAAAAAATTAGATATGTGCACTTAATATTGAGCGCACAAGAGAACAGGCTGGATTACCGGACATTTGGATACACACTGTCAGGGCCGTTTGCGAGGACTTTGCCTTGGGGGTGAAGTTAGATTACCTGAATTTTTCCAACTTAACGTTTTTCAGTACCTGATTTTGCGACGTATATTTTTTCTAACTGAAACAGGCAAATATTAACTGAACAATGGTGAATATTAAAATTAGCACGAGGCAAGGCATATTTTAAAGATTTACAAGTGGGGGCCATAACCGGGAAAAAGGCCCATTGAGCCAGCGACGAGTTTTGTACGGGGTCCGGGGAAATTTTGAAACCTGGAGACTCCAAAATTGCTATTTAGTGCGGCGTTTTGAGGGGCATTTTAAATAATTCTGAATACTATAAAAAGTTAATGTTTAACACTTTTACTCGCAATGTGTTTTGTCTTTCAACATATATATAGTTAACTCAAAGCTACTGTAATGTATAAAGTTAAAGTTTACAAACATCCCGACGAATCCCTAAAGAATTTCTTCATGTATTCTTATTGTAAACAATGATAAAATACAGACAAAGACTTTCTACATTCGCATTTTCATGATTTCACACAAACTAAATGTGCATGGTTAAAAGGGCCAAGGAATGGGGGGCCAATTTTGCATGAGTGGGGGGGGGGGGCAACCGGAGGGCCAAATGGGCCCCCAGTATATATATGTTAAAATATGTCTTGGCACGCCGAGAGCTATCACGAGGACTATTAAAGCACGTTTCGAAAGGCAGAGCTGCAGCGGGGAGCCTATGGTTATGACGTCGTAAACAATCCAAATTTATTCAAACCGCATTACTGGCGCCTTTGTAAGCGACTAGTCGGAGTGTCGGAGGAGTCAACTCGAATCTTCGTTCCGTTACTTGTGTCTAGTAACTTTAGTACCTGATGTTATACCAATGGTGCCTGCCTACGCGTTTCTTGTCCATGACCATTTTTGTCCATTTTTTCGTTTGAGCACTGTATTTTCTTAAATAGAACTAGGCTTCGAAATTTGCGTAGTTGGCAAGAGTATTTAAACAATTAATTATTTCTTTTCGGCCATTGCGGTGGTGCTATAAGTCAGAGGTGCGATTTCTAGTTTTCGGCTGGAGAATGTTTTGAAGAGCAGTGACAGTAATTGATGTACAGGCAAACTGAAGGTAATGAAAGCAAATTAAAGTAAAGTAAGAGGCTAAGAGCTATAGTATACGGCCTAAAATGGTAAAGTTGGCTTATTTTAGACTGAAAATGGCCATTGTTTGGGCCATTGGTATATATTTCATAATCATGAAATATTCTAGTGCTTTTCAGCTGGAATTGTGTGCGATATATGAGCGATCAAATTCACCGTTTGTATAATTCACTAATTGTAAAAACTATTTTCTATTTTCCTGTGAGAAACCTATGATTCGGTTAGAAAATTCGTGTTATATGAACACGCTCCCAAATTTTCGCTCGTCGCTGGACAGGGCTGTTAGGACTGTAAGACGACACTCCAGTCTATGTTATCTCGGGCAGATTCTCATTAAATATTGGGCACTATACTAGACATTCGGTAATGTCTAAAAGGGATGGATGAGAGGTAGTTTACGAGATGGTTCCAAAATGCGTTAGTATATACAGAGGTTAAGATACCCCGGTTCCGATTTATGGGTACGTACGAGTATCGCCATTTTGTTTACCAATTTTTGCTGATGTCAGCATTTTTACCCGTAATTTCTACGTAAAAGACAAACGGGTGTTTTCTATTAGAATGTTAGGGTTTGTAATCCTGTTTACTATATTATGTGTGCCGTTTAAATAGTAAAAAATTTTCAACATCTTACCCACATAAATAATGCATATATGCTCGTCAAAGTTTTCAACAATTTATGCGAACCTCAACAGCGAAAGTTCCCATTCTCTGATCGGTTTTCACACGCCGGAATATCTTGGATTTCTTAAGTTACAAGTCGTTCCCCGATTTACGGGTACGGGTACATGTATATCACCCGTACCCGTAAACCGGAACCGGGGTATCTTAACCTCCCTATTATATTAGGGTTAGTGTGGAGGTTATAAGGATTAGGGTTAGGTGTTGGGTGAGAATAAGGTTTAGTATTGTTGCAAGTGGCTGGTTGTTGATTCTTTTACGTTTTAATGATCTTAAGAACTGGTGGCCATCTTGAAAACCTAGGCCTTCCCGGCCACCTCGGTATAATATATGCAATCGGACAGATTGAAATTTTGTTTCATTAAATGTACATTGCATGTCGAGTGAAGAGTTTTCGACGTGTATCAATACTCGTAAATAGTTTGTTTGGCTGTACGTAAATTTAATATTGACTTTGTATTTCCATACGCCTGCATAGGAGATGTGTTCTTTCTATTTATAACCTTTATAAACTCATGCATGATGTTTCCGTTTCCATCAACGTCGGGAAAATTTCTGTCCGACCTCCTATAAATATTTTCCCAGCCACGTACGCCTATCAGAAGATCTCGCAAACAGGACGAAGCGTACGCCGGTCCGTGTTCTCGTGTGAACCAGCCTGTATAGTTACACTGGATCAGTATCAAGGGATGACCATTTCCATGGTCGGTATTTAATAACCAATTTAAGTCTAGAATAACTGAGTAACTGACACAGTGACAGTCTCAGTGTTTTTTTAGTAAAATACAATACTAATGAAATAAAATAAAGCAATAAGATTAAGGCAAGGAAGATAAAAAAAAAATAAGAAGATTAGGAAATAACTAGTGACATAATAAAGTACTAGATAGGTTTAAGACTGACTCTGAAACGTGCCATAACAAATTAACAATATATCATTGGTGCCTAGTAATTCGCCCACGACTTTGTAGGTCACGTTCCTCTTAGATAAACACGCGCGGCATGAATTGCCCATTGCCATTGCAGAGTGGATAGCATTGACATATACAAACAATCTTCCCAAATTCTGGCTTTTGCTGGCAGCAAAGACTGCCCACGCACTCATTAAATAGTAATAATGTCTATTAATTTGCGCACTTCCGCTCCGAGCTGGCCTATAGAAATCTTTTCAAAATGTTTTGCATCTGCGTTGCTCTATGACCCTTCGTCTGCTTGAATGATTTTCAGACGTGATCGAATTCGCTCGGCTCAAGTACATAATCATAATATTGTTGTGTACCATTATATTGTTGTAGACTGTCATTGATACATCAGAAAGTTGGTACAGTCTTAAAAATCAAACTGCCGACGCAAAAAAGTGGATTGATTCGAATATACCTCAAAAGGTGTTTTCAGATAAAAGTTTTACCGACTGCGCTTACGAGCAGAAGCAGATGTGATGAAGCTAGACAGCAGCTCAACATCGCCATCTTTCCAAGGTAGGAGATATATTCGTTATATCTTTTATATATATCAAATATTTGTAATTTGTTGTCGTACTTGAACCATTGAACGTACAAATGGGTGAATATGATATGGCCGTATATTCGTAAGGTAATGTCCAACACTGTGTTGATAACATACAGTTATAAAAGTTCATCCGGATTTCAGTTCATCGAGCTGTTTCTGTACCAGTCACACTATCGAATCAACTGGGGGTAATATGTTAAAGTGAACTGAAGAACAGTTGAGCCAATGGTGCTGTCACAGGGTTAATGATTAAATAGGGATTTGAATTTGTGCCGTCATGTCGTTTACTGAATACTCGTGTTGCATCCATGATAAGGGCGTTCTGCGAGGCTAGTTTAAATCGAGTGTGTTGGATCCATGATAAGGGCGTTCTGCGAGGCTAGTTTAAATCGAACTTGAATCAAATTTTGGTAGTAATGCCATTTTGTTGTCCCATTTGAGGGCCTTTTTAGAGAGGATAGACAGCAAAGGAAGCTATATTAATACACAGCGTCCATTGGCATTGTGTTGATCACTAGTTCCTCTCGCGGTACTGTATTTTATTGTAATTAAGTTTGACTAAGATTCTTACAAAATCTACTGAGCGCAGACTATATATGCAAAGTTTGTGAAAATAGCGGTTAACTTTTGCAAAAGTTTAGCGTAAACAAAATACTGTCAGTTTTGACAAGTAGCAGATGGAATGCAATCTATTTGTTCGGCCTATAATGATAACATCACTAAAATATTAATGATACGAAATGAATGCCAAAGATAAATTTCTACTTTTGAATTTTGATTTACAGTACATATCGGTGAAGTTAATTTTAAAAGTTGTGCATGAAGGTATTTTATTAAGCTTTATCACAGACTTCTTCAATTTCGATATAAAAATGTGACAAGACAATCAGTAAATTAATGCAAAAATTTTGCAGGAAGTTAATGCAAAAATTAAAGTTGATCCGAAAATGCAAATGTTAATGTATACAAAAAGCACTTTGAACGTTTCAAAGACGTTTGTGCCTTACCTTTGGAACACTTAGATCCAAAGGTTATTTTTTGTGAAATTTCCCGAATGTTGCAATTATATGCCGGGAGAGTTTAATACCGACAACACAATGGAACACAAAATCACTTTCGGTTTTCAGTATAAATTTTAGTCTCACAATATTGAACTTGGGGGGAATCGGGGTTATATTTTACTGTCTCAGCCTAATCGGTCCACGAATTTTGTCACCGATTCTAGTTTCAAGTAAACACCCAAATGCCCCAGTCAGCATCAGGATAAAATTGCGGTTGAATCATATGTAGCATAAGGTAATTATATAATCATGCGGTAAAATATGCATATATATCAAAGACACAATAAACTGATAAGTCAAAGCCCACACGTTAATTTCTAGAACTAACTTGTCTTCTGTGTAAAGCAAAATAAAAAGGTGCGCACTTACACTGATCAGTCTTGAAATTTTTGGTAATTTAAAACGAGTGACCAATACTTCTTTGTCAGCAAAAACATTTTTGTTGCATCAGCTCAACTCTGACACGGAATCAGCAATGAATGATAGAAACTTGTCTCGTTCTCCTCATTACTGAAAATGAACAATATCAGGAGAGTGAAATATCGCTTCCCATGCACGCCATGCATGTTCACTGATTTTATGTTAATCTATTTTAACATAACATAACATAGTCTCGTAACATCGCTCTCGTCTGAAATTAATTGCGTTGCAGCGAACATTTCTTCATATAAATATAACATAACATGGATATATAGGCCTATACAGTAATTGTTAATGCTTAAATCGTTCATGTTTAGCCCTGTGTATGTTTTAAGCTCGTATTTATAGCATTCATCCGGATTTCCAAGGGATACATAGTTGCTCCGAAACTCCTCACGTGCACTTAAATACGAAGTTCCTTGTCAAAATTCTGAAATCCCTATATAAAATCCCAAATTCCAAAACTTATAATGCAATAATACCTTATAATACCTTATAAATCTATAAAATAAAAAACCCCACAAATGCGCTAAATGCGATTTTTTTAGTGATTGTTGATTGACATCAATTTCCTCAAAACGTGACCCATGTAGACACACATGACAAATAAACTAGAATTTCAAGTCAATGGGAGGGGATTAGCATATCACCTTGTATTGGCTTGGTGTTCAGTTTCAACCGTCAGCCTGTAAAACATATATAACATACAGGTAAAACAGTAACATACAGAGTGATAGAATTTTTTGGCACAGAGTTCGGAATTTTAAAACCTTGCATGCATGTAGGCCCCCCAGCTAGGCAAGAAAAAACTAGGAATTTGTTGGTAATAGACATAGGTAATTATATAGCGAAAATTGAACATTGTCATGCTATTTTTATATATATCTATATCTATATATATATATTTGCATGTTTTGAAAAGGTTGAATAGAGCCCTTGATCAAATCAGGTTCCCTTGAGACGGTTAGACGCCGATCCCAATAAATGTTTCATATCTTGATTAATATTTAACATTCATAGTTATGCAAACATCTCAGCTTCGTTTGTGAAATCTTAATCAATTCAATTTGTAATTGAAAGAACATTTTATAATGTAAATCTACTCCACAGATTAGTCGAGCTAAAAATGATATATTTGAAATTTTCAATGTTTCCTGATACAATAGCTTTTTCAGCTTGTTTTTATATCCAAAAAAATAAATCATTACGAATTTAGTGTTAAGTAATGTTTGTTCATTTCTCTACAAAACAACATTAAATTTTAATTTCATTTAATCCCATGAGCTTTATGTTATCAGGTTATTTGTTTTACTTTTACTCCAATAAAAAAGTTAGCTGCTAGCTTTATAAACGCTGATGGAACGATGGTGCAATTTTTAAGGGGTTTATAAGTACAGATTTAAAGGGTTTAGATATGATCAAACGATCCTTATCGTAATTAATATTGGTTATATCAATTATGTCGGATAGCCGATAAGTATTAGAGACCAATGTCAGACCGATAATTTGGGAGACTAAAAGCATGCATTGCATGCCAGAATAACTCTCACAGAAATTAATGTGAGAGGAAGGGTGCCTTTATCCATCCTCTTGGAAATTTCACGAGATATCAGAAACTGGCCTTATTATATTATTTAGCACTAAGCTATTCCAATTAGATTAAATTTCAGATTAATTAGGGTATTTAGTATTTACTTTACATACGAATACAGACAACAATGATTGGGCATCATAATCACGTGGTTAGGGCAGTATGACAATAACACTATATAACAGAGAGATGTTGTGGGCTTGTGGCCGCGTGTATTGTGTTATATATACGATTGTGACAAGTGACCTTTATAAATTTTTCTAATTTATCGTTTATCTTATATTGTTTGTAAACGTGTGGAACTTTTGAAAGGATCGAATTTACTCCCTATTCCCACAGACTAATACCATTTTGAAGTTGGAATAATGGACAATGTCAAAGACGATATCGAAATGTTATTCCTGGAGTATTATTCTAAGCTGGATTTTCCACAGGCTTCTTAATTGAAGTTGCAAAAATATTTCTGGCCGGAGTTCTAAATGGAAATTACTAGTTTTGTTTTTAGGACCATTTTTGTCGGACCGGAACGCATATGAAAATAAATCACCAAAATAGGAATTGAAAAAAAATTCAGGTACAGAAGTGACTTGCACTGGGAAAAAAATTGAAAATCCATGGAAGGTCATAGGACATAGAATGGAAATTGTATGGACCTTAATTGGAAATAGAATGGATTTTGGTTATCCATAATATATTGTATATTTCCATATTATGGAAATAGTATGGAAATATAGTATGGATATACTATGGATTTAGTGGTGCAATTGCAAATTTCGTAGTATGGATTTCACTTTTTTTTCCAGTGTTACAGGTAGCTAATTTCGGTAAATGGGACCATTTTTTAAATATAAACTTTATTGACGTATTTACCTCAAAAGCCAATTAAGGCTAATCAAGGAGGCTCACATTATTTACAAAATGAGTTAAAACCAATTCAACATAAATATTCCTTTCCATTCTTTGGGATTTCCAAATTTAATGCAATAGTGGAGTTTCTGAAGGATAATCCTTGCGCTGTTGAACTGAATATGTTATAAAATGCCCGAACTATAGGAACAGTTGGAGCGAGATTTTTTGCCTCGGCATGAAGAAATGTGTTGAAAGACAAGCGTCATTCTAGAGTATAAGCAAAATTATATTAGGGACCGGTCATTATTTATGGTGGGGGGGTGGCACCGAAGAGAAATGTTTTTCGTGGCAAAAATTTTGCTGACCCAACCATTAAAAAATAAAAAAATTGATTACCCAACCTCAAGTGTCATTTAAAAAATAAATACCCACCCCTGGCCAAAAACGTTACAATAGGATGTCATTCAGTTGTCACACATGACACAAGTCCTTTACCACTTGTGTGATACGTTTGATAACGTTCGGCTTGTGAATGTTTGATAGTTTGATAACGTTCGGCTTGTGAAATTTACTGACTTTTCTGCAGTCTAAAGTTTCATGTTGTCTGCACATTTACTTTCTTTGGAGACACCATTTGTCTCCCAACAAATCGGAAAATGATGAAGATATAGATTGATTCACATATTGTATTGACATATGACTGTTGACATTGAAGTTTTCAGTCTTCAATATTTGAGTGAGTCATGCTTTGGAAATGACAATAAATTTTTATTACCCAACCTTTGAGTTGTTTCGTTTTTCATTTACCCAACCTTTTACTCACTCAAAATTGTGTTTACCCACAGTTAATAGGTTTGTTTACCCAACCCTTTTCTCTTCGGTGCCACCCCCCGCCATAAATAATGACCCGTCCCTTACTCAGCCTTTGATTTTGTCGAGAAATGAGAAGACGGTGGACTTGTGGCAACTATAGCTATGTGCCATTAACCGCGAGGTAGTTGACTCGGTAAGAATTTTCGTGAAACAGGAAGACTTTTCAGTTCAAACGAAGCCGAAAACAGATTTCGTTTCAAAGAGAACACCCCTTCTTGTTCTACAGTGGCATTCTTGAGGTGGGAGGCTGCTGTGGGTGGCTAAGTACCTCAATGACAGAAGTGCAGTCAATTATATCCCAAATATTACAACAAACACTTTTTATATTATGCACTTGATAATGTTGGATTGTGTTGCTGTTTATGATATTGATTTTTTTGTTCAAACTCCTTTCGGAATGCAGGAAATAGCATTTCTAAGCCTTAGAGAGCGTGCCTTTTATTCGGGAGCGTGCCACCACAATTCTAGAGATTTCTGCCGACTGAAACCGAAAAATCCGAAACCCTAGTTACGCCGGGCCTGCAGTGATTTCGTAGCAAGAGTTTATTTATTTGTTTAGCTTCGTTAGGCGAGACCTTTTTTATTTATTGGTTTACGGATTTGACATTAAAAATAAGAGGTCGGTAGGTCGCAAAAAATTTAAAAAAAAAAAACTGAGTATAAATGAGAACCAAAATTAATAATAACTTATTACTTATTTTTATTTCTCAAGGATTTATACAAAAGGTTAATTTAATTTAATTTGCAACGTTTCGGACATTTTAAATGTCCGTCTTCAGGCGACAATTGTTGTTAATTGTAAAAACAATGACAATTGTAGATTAACAACAATTGTCGCCTGAAGACGGACATTTAAAATGTCCGAAACGTTGCAAATTAAATTAAATTAACCTTTTGTATAAATCCTTGAGAAATAAAAATAAGTAATAAGTTATAAACAACAAAGGTGAAAGTTTTAGAAACAAGATTAAAAATTAATAATCTTTATAAATTTTTTAACGTTAATTTTAAAAAAACGCAAAAAACGTGGCTTATCTCCATATTGATTGTCACAACGATAACATGAGCCAGCAGTACCTAGAGTCAAAGTTTCTTGAAGTGTAGTTAGTGTACTTCATGTCAGAACCCCAAATTAATTAAAATTAACTAAAATTGTAAAATTTTTGACATCCAAATTTTTTTTTTTTATTTTCCACTTTCTAAATATTCACGGTCGGCGGACCGTAAACCAATGAATAAAAAAAGTCTCCCCTTAATAGTACAGACAACTCTAAGTCTCTAACTCGTATAGAACACACGCACACTAGTATCACAGAGAAAGGCAGAGTCGCAGAGACACCATGCCAACCACAAGACAAAACACAATAATTTAGCAACTTGAAACTCAAGACATCAGTCAAAACAAGACTAACTATATAGTTACAATATATATGTACAAGGTCTTTCATATACAAGCTGGTATATCGCTGTTTTGACTCATATCTTGAGTTTCAAGATTGCTAAACATCGAATTGTGTTTTGTATTTTTGACTTTTTAAAATTTTTGACTGGTATTGGTTTTTCTTTCTACTCCAGAACAGTTTAAGAATTTTTGTTTTAGTTAACCCGCCTAACCTGCCCACAGGGATCGGCTGGGGATCGCGCAACAAATTTCTTGTTGCCACCCAACCCAGGACGTTCAATGCAAGGTTTCGCCGGCATGAGGGCTAAATTGACGTCATATCATATAGCAATCATCTCAACTGATTGAATACCGCCGGTAACGTACACCCATCCAAGCCCGCTGTGTTACAGAAAACATGAAACCAAATGTAACAGAATCGCAACAAAACATTTCAATCATATTTTGTATTCGTCTGTGTTTTGGGTTTTCAAGATGTTTCTGGTTTTCGGTTTTTGTTCCATATTCTATTTCGTAAAATTGGTTCTATCTTTTAATATATTCTCGATCTGTGTTCAAACACAGGTGGAGACTTTGTACCATGTCTAGTCTTTTACGTCAAACGTCTTTGTCCTTCATACCGGATGTTTTTCAGTCATTAATTAAGTGATCATATGTATACCTTATTATATTTTGTTAGTTGAAGTTTACTCAAGTGTTATCCATATATGATATTATTGTCGGCTATGCACCCAAAGGCGAAGGCCCAATCAGTCAAATACTAGTCGGGTCGTAGTGCTTTTAAATACCGCCCTTTTGTTTGTGAAAAAGAGCTCGCTAGTCCACCAATTTGGCAATTTCTGTAGGGTTGATAGCTCAACATGTAGAGCAGTACAGACTACATTCCTCAAGATTGAGAGTTTATAAATACGTATATAGTATATGTCAAGGACTCAAGGATAAGAACCACCAATCTCTTAGCCTCGCATAGATTATAGGGTTGGTAATTCAACAGATAGAGACCATTGGATTCCTAGATTCATCAATATACCAATCTCTGTACTGACTGCAGCCTTAGTGATATAGCTCAACAGGTAGAGCAGTGGACTAGATTCCAAAGGTTGAGAGTTAAATCTCGTGCTGTAGCTAGGACAGAATACTATACCGTTGATTTCTGAAGGTAAAGAGTATCAAGAATAGGCCTAAGTGTTAAAATTTCGTGTACTTATAAGATAAGAACTCGCCACTAATCTCTGTAAATTTGATAGTTCAACAGATGGAGCAGTGAACTAGATTCCTGAAGGTTGAGAGTTTATTTTTCGTGAGCTTAAAAAGGAGAATATTTACCACAAAATCCAGTAAAAAATGTACGTAAAATCTATTCACATGTGTAGGTCGAACTGTAGCCTTGATCGGCTCAGAGGTAGAGCATTTAGGTAATGTTCCGAAAGGCTAAAAGTTGACTGATGATTTTGTGTCCTTTTAAACCCACCATCAATTCTTGAACAGTCTAATTCTGTCTAAACAAAGACTGCACTGAAAAAAATATATCTCAAATCACATCTATATAGTATTATACAAGTCAGAGTAATTTTTAACTTAGTTTACGAGTTTTCGTAGTGACGTTTTCTCCATTGCAAGAATTTGACTAATCAGCTTATCGAATCAATTAACATTACATAATGGGCGGAATATTTTATGTTTGGTATGTATAAAGATTGTTCTCCATTCATTGACTGATTGTCATTGATTAACAATAGAGACCTTTAGATTGACGTTTACGGCAAACGTCAAACCGCTAGCGAAGTTTTTGATTTTACAACTCTATTATAATAGCTTTTACACCAGTTTTGAAATATGTTAAACTTATTAAACTTGTGCTCTTTAGCAATGATTTAAGAAAGCAAATTAACCACTAGTCATGCCATTCACCAAAGCAGTAAATTAAGATTTGGGGTTTGAAGTTGACGTTGGGCGTATAAATTTTATGCTTGAACTGCTACGAGGGCTTGTAGTCGTTAAAACATGAAATTTATACGCCTAACGTCAACTTCAAACGCCAAATCTTAATTTACTGCTTTGGTGAATGGCATGACTAGTGGTTAATTTGCTTTCTTAAATCATTGCTAAAGAGCACAAGTTTAATAAGGTTAACATATTTCAAAACTGGTGTAAAAGCTATAATAATAGAGTTGTAAAATCAAAAACTAATTCGCTAGCGGTTTGACGTTTCCCGCAAACGTCAATCTAAAGGTCTCTAATATTTCGTATGACGTCAAGGGCACACATGCTCCCCGGAAGCTTTCTGCGGGACCTTTCGCCACCGGAGACAACTGTAGTCTACCGGTAGTGTACTTATATATAATTAGAAATAAACAAAACATATATAGGTTGAGGTAAAGTTTGACTTCGATTTATTTCGGACGTGTCTGCGATCTGGACTAGATATGGACTTCCATCCATGCATGGCAAAATGTAAGGTTATGAGATTATCAAAATTATTAGATAATTAGTGTTAAAGTTTTGTACTAGATTGTAGAGAGTTGTATTTTATTTTATTGTTGAATTTAAAGAGAAACTCGGATACACTTCCGAGGATTAGGGATGTTTTAAAATTAAGTTACTTTATATACAGCATAGCGTTACTCGTTAGTTATAAACAGTTAAACTAAATGGTTTGTGAGTTGGTTAAAATAGTGAGTTTGTTATTTGTTATTTGTTAGCTATAGTCCTGGGGCTAGACTTGCTCCAAGTCGACCTCCAGGGACACGCGCGAGAAAAGAACGAACGCGAGCGAGCGAGCGCGAGCGACGAAGTCGCGAGCGCGAGGGAGGTCGACTTGTCAAACTTGCAGGATTTCCATTTGCATTTCGCGCCAAAACTGTCGAATAAATTTAGCTATTGATTGACACGATGTGGAGCTAACTCAAAAGTCACGCTTTTCCCGGCTCCAGTTGGCGCTGACACGAACACATCTCTACCAGATAAATAGGCTTCAATTGTCTGCCGTTGATATTCTTTCAATTTCGAGTACCCAGCTGACTGCCTAGCATTTTCGATCGCTTGTGAAATTGACTTCTCCATTTAATAATACTTTTTAATTCTGTGTGTACTACGACAGTCGTATCGATTTATATGTATTTCCTGTCTATTTGATTTCTGGATGCTGGCCAGTTTATTTATGAGATGAAATTTAATATTTCACACTATAGGCACTTTGATTGACATGTTGTTTTATCACGTTACTCTGATTGGTTCAAGAGTTAATCAACAATACGAACACATATTGTATATAGATCAGTGTTACCGACCTGTTTTTGGGTCGGAAAAATATGGCGCGCTGCAAGTTTGAAAAGTCCCTCGCCTCCTCTCCCGCTGCGCCGCGCATATCATATTACTTTCAAAAATTCATTCGCATAAATAAGGACGTATTAAAGGCGAGGGACTTTGCGAAAGTCTATCCTGGGGCCAGTTAGTGTATCAAGCCTGTTTAGCTTAAACGGTGGATAAGTCAAACTGATTAAATAACTCTTATATCTCTCGTGAATCAGTTAACTTAAATATTCTGCACTGAATATGTATATAGTTGTAAACAATATCGTTCTATTATTTATTAAGGTTCAAAACTTTTAGTTTGGTTGTTGAACGAATCTATAGACTTCTAATTCTTTTAATAGTCGAGCTTAACCATATATGCACCGTTTAAGCTATAAGGGCTTGTTGTTAGTGCATAGCTCGTTATTGATTTTTTATTCGCTTAGGCCTAACAATCATATTAAAAACATAAAATATGTGATTGAACTGAAATGGACAACAGGAGTCCAGTCTATCCATTTTGCCCCAAGCGTAAGCCTAAGTCGGGTCGTAGGCAATGAAAATGTAATATGTATGGCAAGCCTTAACAAACTCTGAGGTTCTTGACGGTGGACAAAGAGGATAAAAAATGTGCACACTCTGGTCAGTATTAACTATAGATTTGGTGTGATACAATATTTCCTTTGCGCCGGTCTAGTCGCGATTGATGAGAAATTTGAAAAGTAGCGAATAGCGGTTTGCTTTAAAAGTATTAAAGTATTAATCAACTACTTCGCAACTTTAAAGTTCGAGATTAGTTGCTGAAGTAATATTCATATGTTTGACAGTTAGTAAACAGTTATAGTAAATTAGTAAATGGGTAGTTTATAGTTATTGTATGAGTTAGTTAGTTGGTTAGTTGACTCGTTTTTTATACATACAGTGGATAAAATTAAAAACTTCTGCTTAAGGATTGCTTCTATAAAGTTAGCATACCTCAAAACTAAACTTCTACCCAACATATTTTCTTACATAGACGTGACACAAATGCTCTCACAAATGAAGACATTGCTGATCGACGTTCTGGTGGAGAAATCCCTTCCGGATGCATCAAGAATCAAACTGAAAGACTGCATCTCTATGGTCGAAACCTTTTCAAACTTTTTGAACAATAATTTAAAGAAACAGGAACAAAATTCCGATAATCTCCTCAAACCCTTACATTCCGGTCTCTCGAGGTCGACGGAATGTTTGCATGCAAAGAAAGGTCACATGTCTAAGTCGAGATCAACATCTGATCTTGCAAATCTTGATTTGGTGAGTGAATTTACGTGTGACAAAGTTTACTGTTATATTGTCTGTTATATTGGTCCTAGATATTGTGTTGTGCATTTATGATATATACACTGTGGTTAATTCAGTTCGTTTTTGTTATATGACGGTCATGAAAGGGAAAACACAAAAGAATAGTTAAATATTGTTGAGAAACACAAAATAATAGTTAAATATTGTCAATTTTAATACTATAAATCTGATGCCATTTAACCTCTGCAAAGATTTTTTCTCAAGACTATTTGCACTTTGCTGTTCGCTTTTACGATCTGACGTAATGGCTGCGCGAATTTTTTTCCAGGCATTTTTCTTTGCACGAATTTTTTGTTGTTGGAATTTTCACCCCTCTCGGGATTTCTAATGGTCCGCCCCTAATGAGTTATGACAGGTATTTTGACCTCGACGAATTTTGCTCACACAGTAATAGTGATAAATAATATAAAACATTAATTGATAAATAATATAAAACTGCTAATTTTTAAAATTATCATTTTAGTATGATAATGGTGAAGGTGATGACATTGATTTAAACAAATTAAAGGAAAATTATCTCCAAGCTGTTAATGAATTTAACAATAACTCGGGAATAAATGGTGAAGTAAACACGCCGGAAATAAATAACTCTAAACCGGAAGTAAACTATGATAAACCGGAAACGAGTCAGTCTAAACCATACGTAAATTCAGCGAAAACTGACCCAAATAACGCGAATAACAATACTAAACCAGAAATGAATGGTACTAAACCGGAAGCAAACGAAGTTAAATCGGAAATGAATGAGGATAAGCCGGAAGTTGTGAGAAGAGAGGGAAACGTTAATCCGAAACCTCGCCGGAAACGTGATAGCTCAACCTTATTCGACATCTCATTGGATGATATAACAGAGCCCGATCATTCAGGATTCCTGATCGAAAAGCATTCTGGGAAAGAATGGTGGTGTGTTTTGCAAGATCAGCATTTATGTATGTTTCCTTCCCAGAATCCTCAGGAGCTGGCTTATGACGTATTACTCGTGCCGTGCTGTGAAATCTCATTGGACGATGTCTACACGGAGTCTCCGGTTTTTCGCCTCACCCAAGTGGGTTCGACACCCTGGGTATTTTCGGCCGGGATAGAGAGAAATCTCCGGGCGTGGATACGAGCTCTGTATCGCGCATGTGGGAGGGACGACGCCGACTGGAGCATGCGCAGTTCGAAGAAAGGCCGCGGCAGAAAAAATAAAAACCAGAAACGAAACATGAAGGTTTTAACATCGACCATTGATGAATCCGAGGAAGCGGAGGAACCCGAAGAAGAAGTTGAGCAGATGAATGGAACAATAGTGGAAGAAAAGAAAGCATTAGAGGATGGAATAGAAGGCAAAGAAACGGGCGCTGAAGAAGATGTCGAACATGAAAATGGAATTAAAATGTTAGAAGGAAATGGAAAAGAACAAATAGAAGCAGACGAAACCGAACAAGAAGTTGGACTTGAGAATGGATTGAATATTGAAGATGGGAATGGAGGAAAAGATGGAATAAATAGAAGTGAAAACGAGAAAATAAAGATGGTCGAAAGCAAAGAGCAAGTGAAAAGTGGAAACGGTCATCAACCCGGGAAGAATTTAGTAGAAAAAGGTTTTACAGTAAACGAGGAAAAGTCTGAAAATCGGGAAGAAGAACCAAAAACGCTAGATTATCAAAAAGTGAACCAACAAGCAAATGAGATCGGGAATCTGAACGAAGCGAAGAAGGATGAACAACAAGACGAAGTCAGCAAAGCAATTGATGAAAATGAAAGTCAAGAACACACAGGGGAAAGTGACAGAGATGATAAACAAGACATTTATACTGAGGTAAAGCCGGTTTCGAGCGTAGCAACTTTGCCACAAGTTGCTTGTCTTTCTAAATTTAGCTCGTCCATCATACATAGTGAGCTAGTGTTATTCCTAGCTATCTTGACTTAATCCAAATCACCTTTTTAACCCAATATGAACCCTACACTTAAACGTAACTCCAGATTAAATTCTTCGATAAAGATGTATAAATTCTAACCATGCATGTTAAAAATATAAACGCCTATAAGCCTGACCCTGGCTGATTTGCTAAGATCTGCTAAGAAATATAAGATAATCACTAAATGATAAAAGAAGAAATGTGGAATGATTTTCGTGTAATTATATAAGTCACTAGGCTTAAACGACAATTCGCACACCGGTTAAAGGAGCTGAAATGTTGATCTCGTTGTTAAAGAAGATTGTAATTTCTGCTTGAACAACCTTTCGTTTGCAATTAAACTGCAATCTACCACTAAAAAAATAATGCAGTTTTACTGAACATGAACCGTGACAAGTTTCAATACCGGCAAAGTGGGATAATGTAAACAGCCCCTAAGTTAACTAAAATTTGTTAACTGTGGTTAATGCATTTCGCCTTTGCGGCTCAATTTCTGTGATGTTTTGTCTATTATAATTTCACTTTAGTCGCATGTGAGAAGGGTACTTCATTTTCACTCTGGCGGTCGTCCTCTGTATTCTCCCGCAGTGTCTCTATAGCAATAAGGATTACCCTTTATATTGGCCCTTACTCCTTAGCGAGAACGGCATTTTGTTCTTTCGATTCCTACCGAAGGGCATATCATGACTACCGAAGGGTATATCATATCCAAACATGTTTGGATTTTTCGAAAATCGCAGCTGTTCCTGGTCAAATGTAAGTACTTTTCGCACGAAATTTCCCTTTGCAGTTCCATCGAGAGAGATGCCAAAATTTTTTAATATTTACCTTTATTCATAAAACTGGCATCACTTTGGTCTGAAATGCTTGTCAACTGGAGTCTCGGTATATCAGTGGTCAGAGCTAGCGCTGCACCGGAATCATAAGCCATAAGGCTACATTTCTTGCATTTCATGGCCGTAATGTAACAAGGAAAGGCTATTTCTTGTATCCTCATGACAGTAGTTTTATTTCTGATTTATTTATCATAAATCAAAACTACTGTCGGACTACAAGAAATAGCCTTTCCTATAGTTATATTACGGCCGTGGAATGCAAGAAATGTATAGGCTTATGATTCCGGTGCAGCGCTCTGACATGCAGAAACAGGTGACGCAATCACTGTAATTTTATAGTCTCACAATTGTGCTCAATCTTAAGAATTACAAATATTCGTAGTTCAACATGATCAAGTCCATAATAAAAAAGCGAAGCGAAAACAAAACTGGTATTAAATTAAAGTAAAAATTAAACTGCAGAAAATTTGAGAAACAAAATAATAATATTTCAGGCATCTGGAAGTCGAGCCCTTCATCAGAAATTGAATGTTTTAAGTTTTTCCTGGAAAATTCGATCGCACTGAGTCAGCTGATTCGGCTAAAATTATAAAATCTCTTCAGCAGTCAGTTTTATATAATACCTTATTGAATTATGATCGTTTAATTGGCTGTTTATGGTGATGTGATATTGAATAGAAAATTCCATTTCCCAAGTCCAAGAGTGCAATGGAATACGTTCCATTGCACTCTTTGCGAGTGCAATTGTACTATACGTTTTATTCCATTGCACCCTTTGTGTTTTCGATAAATCGCATCCGTCAAAATGCTTCTCGTTCGGTGATCGCAGTTTATTTTAACCCGATATTCGAAACTCAATAAATGGGATTTAATGCAAATACTCGTCAAAGTGGCGGGAGCTTATAGTAAACCATTTGATATTAGTCTATTTTGGTATTCTATATTCGGTGAAAGATGGAATGTTCCATTCAACTCGGCTGTCGCCTCGTTGAATGGAACATTCCATCTTTCACCTCATGAAAATATTCTTACCATTGCACGAATAAACATTCATTATTTGTATACTATCGAGCGAGAGATGCCCATGACCTTGACAATTTACTCTTATGCTAATTACCATGTTTCTGTTTCATTCTTAGAATGGAAACAACACGTGTTCGCCACCAATCAGTTTCGACGATGACCACAGTGATTACGTCATTTCCCTGCAAAGCGTCGAACAAAATTCCCACTCGCACACCGAATGCCTTGAAAACGAAAAAAGACTGGGCATGGAACGCAGGGCGACAAAAAAGCGAATAAAAATGCTTCGATGGTTGAAAAAAGCGATTGTTGACAAAGGCGAGGACGATGTTACGGTGATTGGCGATATCTACAGAATCGAAGGGCCTGACAATCTCGTGAAACTGTGGTGTTTACTTCGTGATCGTCAGCTGTACTGCTACCGCCGTGTAACCGACACGACTCACGACTCCGTAATACCGTTGGACAATTGTACCGCGGTCTCAAGTGCAGTGATCTCCGGCCAAAAGTATGCCTTTGATATTAAAAGGGAAGGAGTTAAACTGGTTACGTTTGCTGCGCGGAGTTCCAAAGAGCGAGCCAGGTGGATAGAAATTGTGAAAACCAAGCGAGGGAAAATCCCAATGACGGAAATTGAGGACGAAAGTGGAGAAGAGGCTGCGGGGTCTGGGACGAGTGAAGAAGACGATGATGATAGTTATGAATATATAGAAGGTAATAATTGTTGTGTTCACGGTTTTCGCGTTTTGAGAAGTTTTTAATCACTTCCAGTTCCTTCCAATATGTCTGTGCACCTTTATTTCTGGTCATTTTATTTTTTCTTCAAGTCTTTACTTTTCCTTTCCAAATGAATGACTCCAGCTATAGGCTAAATTTTGATCTAGGCAAGAAGAACAAAATCCATCACCACAGCTAGAAAGAGCATGTTAAAATTAGTAAAATTACAAAGTTTGGTTGCGAAATGTTGTAAAATGCGGAAAATACAGTCCTGCGAAATTTGCAAATTTTGTATTAATTTGTATTACGCGCGGGAAAATGCACCACATTGAGCCGAAAGTGGTGCATTTTCCCGCGAGTAATACAAATAAATACAAAATTTGCAAATTTTGCAGGGCTATATTTTCCGCATTTTACAACATTTCGCAACCAAACTTTGCAATTTTACTAATTTTGTGGTGATGGATTTCATTCTTCTTGCCTAGATCAAAGTTTAGTCTATACAGTTGGAATCATCCATTGCGTGGCTATAAACTTAAAATCGTCTGTCGTTAGACCGAGTAAAATACTTACGAAATCATCGTACCACGCTGCCCCTCCCCTCACTCAGTGAAGGTCGCTTCTGTCTAAATATAAGCAAAAAAGTAAGAATAACCAAGGCCAAACGAGTGTTTTAATATTCCCACGACCATTTCTTGACCAGCGGATGAAACATATCAAAACGTTGTGTCTAAATATACAGGAATTCAAGTTGGTCCTATATAGAGGCTCAAATTAAAATTACACAAAGTTCCTGGTGGTGTATCCCCAGACCCCACTACAAATCCAAACTTTCCAGGTCTATCTTTTAAAACTTGTGTGTTACATTCTTAGTGAACAACAACGAAGCCAGAAAAAAATTCAAGACAGACGGAGAGTACGTTTTACCTATGTCAGAAGATGGGATTGAGGACGGCGGTTATATTTCTGTCCTGGCTTTAGAATGCGAAATTGACCGCCGCAAAACGTGCAGAAAGAATAAAAAATACAACCCGAACATTACAAACAAATCTGGTATCGAGTATTTAATCGAGAAAGACATTCCGTCATTTCTGTCAACAATACCCAAAACGTTTTCCCGGGGCAAGCATCGTTCGCCCGCACCTCTGCCGAAAGATGCCACCCGCTTCAGTCAGGTTGAAGTCTCAAACGCCGTGCCAGCAATACATGTGGACAACGGCACGGAGAGAGGGTCTGGGGATGAGACGGATAAAGTACTTGAAAGTCCTAAAGACTTAAATAATAACGCAGAAGACGAGAGTATGGAAACGGAGAATTTTTCAGGACAGTTTGCAGATTGTAAGTATATAATCACTGTTTGGTTGTTTTCTAGTAAAAGTTTAAAAGCGTCTGCGGCGCAGGCTAGCTACTTACCTGCTAACGAGGGCCTTTTCCTGAAATGCAGAACTGTTAGGTTAGTTTTCTCTTCGGCTTATGCTTTGACAATTTTTCTCTGGTTTTCCTCCCTCACACAAAACTAATCCCTAGGCAATAGCATTGATCGTAAAATGATTAACTCTGGTAAAATAAATAACCCTCTGTAACCTTTACACAATAACTATAAAACTAAACTAAATCTACTAAATTTCTAAATAAACCATTTTCCCTTTCAAGAAAATACTAATCCTTGCATGATTCCATTGCCGTTTTAGATGAAGACGTATCAAGCCAGGAACAGGAAATCTTACATTGTCAGTTAACCGCGTCATCATGGTTATCAGATAGCCCGCCATGCCAAGCCAGGTTTGGTCCGCAGCGGGATTGCCGTAAAGGCGCGACCGGAGCGTGGAGGCCTGAGACAAACGATAAAATCCAATGCCTTGAAATAGACTTAGGTATGGTAAATTTTAAGTGTTTATTGTTCGTTGGGCCTTGGGGAGAGCTCTGCATGTCACTACAAAGTACTAAACCGTACTGCTTTGAACTAAATTAACCTTATTTATAATTGGATAGCTGGTAATCTCTTCTAAACGTTCTCCGTACAGATTTGGTAAGGTGATGAATGTCTTTTTAGTCTAGGTTATTTCAGGAGAAACCTAAACTAATTTATTTATATATTTGCTAGTTCTAAACTGTTTCCCTGGAAATCCAGTTATTCCATTTCTTAATGGTCCATGCAGTGTTATTTAAGGGTGAAGTTTAGGAGGAACCTCAACATAACTACTTTATCATATACTGGATAGCTCTCTCAGTTCTAAACAGCTCTTCTTGTAAAGGTAGAGCTGTCTCTTCTTAGTCTTCTTCTTCTAAATTTACGTTGTGTTTCCACAAACAAAAAGTATTATATCTCTTCTTAGTCCAGTATTATTACTGAATGAAGCTGAAATAAAACAAATCTACTTTTAATTTGGTAAAACTAGAGGACTTTATCAGCTCTAAAATGTTCTTGGTAAAGGTTCTGTAATACTCATGTCTTATTGTTCCAGGAAGAAACTAAACGAATCAAACTTCATTTGTATATAATGAATTACTCAAATACTCCCTATTAACTCTGCAACCATCGTGTTTCCCACTGATTTACTCATCGATTTCTATTATTAGGAGACGTTATGACAGTTGGTGCAATTGCTATTAAAGGTAGACCAAATTTCGACGAAAAGGGAGGAGAATTCGTGAAATCATTTACAATTCACTATAGCATTGATAAGGAGACGTGGACACCTTATAAAAGTTATGGGAAAATCAAAGTATGTTAGGATCGAGGAATATTTTGTACTCTGGTAGATTATACATATCGGACGATCCTCCCCTATACAACACGGATACGACATCCGATACAACACGGCCACTCATGTTGTAGGCCTAAATAGTATTTAGTACTCAAGTAGATAAGTCCACACCAGACAAGCAAAAATTACATGATCATTGTGAGATTTATTCTTGGGTAGATCACATGTGTGAATGATCGATCCATATCAGGCTAGACTTGCTCCAAGTCGACCTCAACAGTCTCTATTACCTCCCCAAAGTTTGGTTGAATGACTTCCGAAAATTACTTTTGTAAAGAACATACTTCCTCTAAAACTCCTTCGTTTCGAGTGAAGACAAAGAACCTATAGCCAAAACAGGAAAACGACTCGACCATGGTAGAATTTGTACTGAACGTAGCTAGATTTTATGTATCTTGGTTAATCGAATACTTATATCCACACCAGACAGGTAGAAAACTACCTCATCATGGACGCGGATTGTATATACTCATATTTATAAGTTTTAGAAAAATTGGATGATGTTCACGAACTAATGATATTTTCTATCAATTTTTTACAGATATTCCAAGGTAGCTCCAATGCATCCCAGGAATGCAAGAAATATCTCAAAACCAAAACTACGGCTCAGTATTTTCGAATCTATCCACAGTCTTGGCAAAATCATATTGCTCTACGAGTCGCTTTATATCAGGAGGATGTCAAGTCAAAAGGAATGAAGAAAAAAGGTGATCAATTATCAAAGCCTACGTCACCAATTGGGAACCGTCCTGTGTCTCCTAATACGGGGAGGAAAATGCATCTGAAAAAAGAAGATATTTCTGATCCCATGTATCCATCGAGTGATTGTCTGACAACTGAGGTTGCTAATCTCGCTGACATTAAAGGTTAGAGTTTGAAGCTTTAAAGAATAAACAACGACTATACAGTATACCCTGTAATCGCAAAATTCAAAACTCTCTCAGGTTTTTGATGCGTGTAACCCCCCGTATTATCTTTTCTATCCTACTCCGAGCAGCTATTTCACACGAACTTTTATTCCATTCAATTCCATTTTATTCTATTCTTTTCTAATAGAATAATTCTGTACTATTCTACTCCATTCTGTTCTATTCCATTCTGTTCGATTAAATTCTATTCCATTCTACTCTATTCTATTTCATTGCATTCCATTATCATATATCTTCTATTTCATTGCATTCCATTATCATCTATCTTGTTCCATTATGTTATTTTATTCCATCTATTCCATTCTTAATTCCATTCTATTCCATTCCAGTCTGTTCCATTCCATTCTAGTCTATTCTGTATGATACCCCATGTTATATCCATTTTAGTCTAGCCTCTACCATTTTAAGACAGCTACGGATCGAGAGAGATTTTTATTGATTTATTAACTTATTATATTCAGGGACTCCGGAACGGGGGGGGCAGGAGGGGCAGCCGCCCCCGTTGCCCTTTACCAGGAGGGGCAAGGGGGCAAAGGTGCCCTTTCGATTTAAAGGATTGCCTTGGCGAAATAGCGAATTGTCAGAAATGTTAGTGCAATTCTTTTACGAATTTGCTTCAGAAAACGCAAGAAATGCAGTCATCGAGCTTCAAGAATAGCGCAATCGCCTGGCAGAGAACCCCTATCCAATAAATAGAAAACATGATTAGGCGAAGTTCAACTCCCGATGTTTTGCAAACATCTCTTAGTATATATCAATTCAAAAGTGCCCTTTCACGAAAATCTGCCCACCTTGCCTTCACATGGTTTCGGCGTCCATGTTTATATTAGCCGTCAACACAATGTCACAAATATAAACATACATGCAAACAGGAAGACGGTTCAGGAACACTAGCATAGCGTGAACCAATTACGTCAGTGACCTGTTTATACAAAACAAATGTATACAAAACTTCATAATAATGTCTATATAATAGGCCTATAAATATCAAACAAGATTACAGTTTTATCCTTTTTATCCCGGATCGAAGTAGAGAGAGCACAAAAACTATCTGAAAAATACAAGCAGAAATTGACGTTCCAAGCGAAGAAATGAAGGGCCTTTGCTCAAAATGTCAAAGTTCTGCTTGTATTTTCCTGGGAGTTGTATCTCTAGAGCTCGAATCCGCAGTTGTCCTGTTGCGTTGTTCACCCTGGCACTGGCCTTCTTTTATGCTCATCAAATCAATGGAAAGTTGTGGTGCGTGATGGATTAACGTCCACTCAAAAGCAATTCCATTTATGCGATTTTGTCTATTTTCTCATATAGAAAACGGCATCAAGTACCCAAATGCTATTGACTGCTCTGACAACCCGGCATCTATGGACAGCCGTATAAAACTGAAAGAAAAACTCCTTTCCAAGGAAAAACGCGAACAGATAACGAAATTGGAAGTCTTGACAAAGCATGTGGAGCAAGCCAAAGACCGAATGATCGTTGGTAACAGTTCAGGACAACTCAAACGCGAAGCTATCGAGTCAGAACATGACTATCTCGTCGCTAACTTAGAACTAGTCAAAGCCAAGAAGCGACTTATTGATATTGAAACTGAAATGAGAGAGTTACGGCTATTTGAGGAAAAGTATGGCGTGGAACAGCCAGAAGTCCAACAAGTGGAAAAATCTAAGGAAACAGCAGCAAAGCCCCCGGAAATAGCAGCAAGGCGCCCGGAAACAGCAGGAAGGCGCTCAGAAACAGCACCAAGGCCCACCGAAACAGCAGCAAGGCGCCCGGAAATAGCAGCAAAGCCCACTGAAACAGCAAGACCCACAGAAATAACAAGGCCCACGAAACCGCCTCTGAGGAGGAGACCAAGTAAAGAAGTGATGGTGTGTAGTGATGCTGTTTCACCCGTAGTTGATCGCGAGGCGTTTAATTCCCCTGGGGATCTTCCCCCATCGCGAAAAGTCTTGAATAATGTTAAGGTGAGTGAGGTGATTGGATTTCAGAATGACTACCTCAGCATACTAGTAATCGATCAAGATATGGTCTGGCTTGTTCTAGCTTTTTGTCCATGTTTAAGCAAACTTATGCACAGTGATGTATTTTTCGCATAAGAAAGCAACCATCCAATGGCATAATCTCGTCGATTCATTGAACCATGCTGTTGAATTAAATAAAAATTCTGAATTTTGAAAGCTTTGTGCATACCTCATTATAAACGCTTTGAAGTTTGTCGAGTTCCAAGACTATATCTTGATTGTCTATCAGCTGAGAAGTAACATAGTTGTGCTAGAGACAATTGTGTCCCTACACTGGGATTTTGGCGACACAGTGATTAGCGCATGTCAGCATGTGTATTTCTCCTATGAGACTAGAATTCCATTCCTGCAATACACATTGGTATTGCTATTAATTCGCCTCAGTCGTATGTGAGAAGAGTACTCCAGGTTTCTTCTGTAAGACTGAGATTTGTCGTTGGCTAGGGTGTGGGTGGAGTGTGAGAGGGGAGTTACCTGAATTGGTAGAGCAGAGCTATCCAGTATAAATAAAAGACGTTTAGTGGGGATCAATAAGAGATGTGGCTCCTATGGTCCTCTCTCCTCCACAGAGGCTTCAGTTGGCTATGATTACGATCAGTATTGAGATACATTTCACTAAAATTTACATGGTGGAAAGTCTCTGCGGAGGCGAGAGAGCCTATGGTGTCTCTTGCTGAACCTCGAGGGAGAACAGTGTAAAAGTGGCAGATTTATCCAGTGCTGATAGTTTTCATTTTTTCTTCAGCTTAAACTTTTGTACATTAATTGCCACTCATTTAATCATTCAATTCTTTTTTTTCACAGATGTTCGAAAATTTTCAGAAATAATCTTGACGACCGAATCAATTGGAAGACACTCAGTTGGAATGCTCGACCATTCGTGCACTTCAGTTACATGTAATAAACTAATTCGAGAGAGACTTGGATCAGAAAGTCTATTCCTGCACTGAATGGACTGTAGTATTTAACTTGTCACCGTGTATAAATCTGTACATAAATTATGAATAGACATGTAGACATAAGTAGAAAAATAAATATGGCCGGATGCAGCAAAACGAAAAGTTGAGAAATATATAAAGTACCGATTGAGAATTTAGAAAGACTAAATTATTAGAAATTAAAATAAAGAAGTTAGTTGTAGAGGAATAATGCTTGGAAATTTGATTGTATATATATAATTAACCGTTAAAATTAAACAAACTCCAACAAACTCCAAGAATTTTGAAATCATTTTTCGAAAGATTTCGCTTTTTCCAAGTGGAAACACTAACTAGTACCCAGTCTCCGAAATTCCCCGGAAAATTTAAATGTTATGAAATTTTTACACGTGGAAATGTTTTGAGGAAAAAATGGCCAGAAATGCAGGCAAAAGATGAACTTTTTACGGCTTTAAGAACGCAAATAGACAGAGCTAAGGAATATGTTGATAGAGCATTAGTTTTGGAGACGAAAAGCATCGATGGAGCGGGCAAATTAACCAAGAGAATTCGGGCTGAACTAAAATTTTTGAATGGGGTATGTTGAAATTTTTGGTGATAATTTTGTTTATTTTAGTTAGCAAGAATTACTTGATTATTTGAAGGAATTTGGCTTTTTTTTGTTCCATTATTGGTTGAACAGGTGGCCAAAAATCCTGATAGTCCCAATTATGAGTGCAGGGCCATAGCCGCCACTGTGACAAGTGATCGCAATACAATACTTTGACAAAAAATACTCTCTGAAATACTTGGAGTGATTTGTGATTGACAGTAACTGCATGATCAGAGTCTAATATTTTTGCGCTTTGTTTGTATCGGCACTAATCAGGATCTTTGTGCCAACAAGGAATTAATGGTCATATTTATTCAGTATCACTTGATCATAGTCGGCCAGTTTGATGGCAAACATGTAATCAGGGTGTCATAAAATAAATAACAGAGCTTGATTGGTTGAGTGGTGCACAGACTGTTAGCTCAGTTGGTTACAGCACTGCACTGGAATCACAGAGACGCTGGTTTGATTCCTGCCAGAGGACCTTAGTTGCATTTTTTGTAAGAGCTTCTGCTTAAAAATGTATAAAATTTCCATTCAAAATTTCCACCTACAAAACCCTTCAACTTTTAGTTCTTTCAAGTGAGATGCCCCAAATCCTGGTTTTTAAAAAGAGCAATAGTCTATCTGAATAAAAACTGCAGTTCAGTACAGAAGAAGAATGATTCTTTTTATTTATTACATACAAAGGTTTCATATTTTGCCCAAATATGTTTTGGCATTTTTTGTGTTTTCTGTCGACATTTGTTTGTGTCACAGTCGATGTTTTCAATGTTGAAATCATTATATTACGCGTATAATTACTAAATATTGCTACTGCACTATAGTCTAATTTCTAAACGTCTAAACATTTTAAATTTGTAAACCTCTAGATTTACAACATTCAGTTCTCGCTACATTGCAAAGAAAATTCTTCTTGCCTTCTTCAGTAAAGTTATTTCCACCTAGGGAGAGATTATTAAGCTTACAGTGTCCATCTTGCAGAGTCTTGCACAGAAGAGGTAGACATTCATCTGTCAAACTGCAATTTTCAAGGTCTAATTGAGTAAGCTTACATTGTTCTCTTCTCAAAGCATCTGTGCACAGCATGCGTACACCTTCATCACCAATGGCATTATTTGACAATGATAACCAAGTCAGTTTACAGTGTTTGTCTTGCAAAGCCTTGCACAATGGAAGTATGCAATTCACTGTCAATGAACAACTACCAAGTTGCAAATAAGTAACTTCACATTGATCTCTTCTGACAGCGTCATTAAAAAATATATTTACACCTTCATCACCTATTGCATTACGTGACAAATTCATTTGACTCAGTTTACAATGTTCATGATAAAGAGCTTTGCACAAGGAATGCATGGATTTTTCTGTCAAGGAACAGGATTTCAATATCAACATATTTAGCTTACAAAGTCGTCCTTTTATTAGAGCATTGCATAACATATCAACACCTTCATCACTTATGTAAGTGGAGCCTAAATCCAGATATGTCAGTTCTGGACAAGGTACCTCATTCAAAGCCTCACAGAGTTTGGACATTTTAGAAGATCGAGTACCGGTATCTGAAAAGTTTGAGGAAAGTTTGAGTCTCTGAAGATGACTTGCATGTCCGTTTTTAATAAATGCACACATGTTTGATACACATTCTTCAGTCATGCCAATATGAAGGTGAGTAAGCTTAACGTGTTCGTGGTTCAATGTACATTTTTGTCTCATCAATGCACTGGTTATTTGTTCCTTTGCCAAGTCACTACCTTTGTTGTTACGGAAGGACAGTACCTCTAAGCAGCTTTGTTGTAGTAGTTTGCTAACTTCCAGAAAACAATCATCTTCAGTAAGTGAACTAGCTAAATATAAACATTTTAAATTGTTCAAATGTTTGCAAACAAACGTGATTGCCACACATTCACTTGTTGAAAGTGACTCCAAACCTCCAATATAACTAATGTATGTAACAAGATTTAAATCAGTGTTTTGGCAAACAGTCTTGACAATGTCTTCATCATCCAGTTCCCTTAAACATTTCATTACAAACATATTACGATGAATGCTAAGGTCCATTTCATATGCCTTTGTATCAGGACGTAAATCTAAGCATTTTGTAAAATCTGAAACACAGTCATAGTAGTCACTGCTAGACATCTTCATTTTTTTGCTTAAAATTCCAGCAATAAACTGAAGTACTAAATGCCACTGACCACTTTTCCCATGAGTGGAAATGAACTTCTTTATCTCGTCTGGTGGTAGAGTATCGGTCACATGCTTTGCTGCAAGAAATTCTTGTATGGTTAAGTGTATGAAACAAAACTGTGTTTGAACTGGGAAGATTGGATTAGATAAACTGTTCACTAAACCAGACATTTTCATTTGTTCATCAAAACTTTCTTTGTTGAAAACCAATTGCCTGTGTTTGATACCATAGGATGCGAATTCCTGAAGTTTTCTGAGCGTTTGTTCAGAAAAGGTTTTGTCCATGTTTTTGTTGTGGTGGACTGCAAAGTGATCTATGGCTGTCTGGTAAAGTTCAGTCAGTGTTGTTGGAAGAGCACTGGTGTCATTTCTTGGATGAATGAGACATCCAGAAAGGGTGACACAAACAATAAAACAATTTACAGGAATGTAGCATAAATTCAAAAGGTCTGACGAGGACGATACGTGATTCCAGATCCTTGGTTTCAGGTCAGGTCTGTCGATGTTGTCACAAAATTTACTGACATATTCTTCAATTTTATCTGAAGTGAAGCCAATTATCTCAAGGTTTCGATCAAAATTGAGCCTTGAGTAAAAATGATCTGCAGTTGGTCTGCTCGTTACCAGAACAGTTGCTCCTTGTAGAAGGTTGCCGTAAGCCAGTTTGATGAATAAAGTCATCCCAGACATATTGGGATCATTTGGAAGTCCACGTGACTGGTCCAAGTAGTTGGTCAGATCGCCATCAAACTCATCCAAACCATCAAATATAAAAATTGCTTTCGGGGGTTCCTTCAAAATTTCTTCAAAAATACTTTCAAATTTTTCTTCACTCAGTCCTGTTCCATAACGAAGAAACTTCTTAAGAGATAAATTTTGTAATTCATCAATTATATTGAACCATCTAAATTTATATAAGAAAACAGTCTTATCATGATAAAATTCATCAATTCCATTTGCCCAATCACGGATAATTTTTTTGGTTAAGACAGTTTTTCCTATTCCCGGCCGTCCGACTGCCAGAATGGAGCGAGGAGAATTGCCTTTGGTGTCTTTGTTGGGATAAAATAAATCTTTAATCTTTTCCAGACGTATGGATGATTTAGGAATTTTCTTGTAAACATCAAATATCTCGTGTCTGTCCATTTCCTTCGAAAAGTGGTTTTGGGCTCGACCAGTGTGAATAATAACGTCAGTATACATGTCATTCAAATCGGTTTTTTCTTTATAACATATGTCAGGTGCATAAGAAGGATTCAAAACTTGTTGTTTGTAATAGTTTGTACAATCTTGAAAGTTGATATTATCTGGAGTGCTACTGTCCGCAATGCTATTGTCTGGAGTGCTACTGTCCTCAATGTTATTATTTGGAGTGCTGCTGTCCGCAATATTAATATCGGGAGTTCTATCCATGGTTGTAAGTTGAAGTCGCACATATCGCTTACGAAGTAGATGTTCAGTAATAAATTCAGTGTCGCTGCTCGAGCCTACGTCAGAACGACAGTTGAGGGTTGGAAACTGTCGCCACAAATAAATCACTTCCCCAAGGATGATCAAGGCAAAAGCAGTGTTTAATACAGAGACAATCACGCTCCATAACTGCTTTTCTGAGGCAGTTGAATTCTCGCATGCAATTAAGGTATTATTTGACTTACCAATAAACGTATTGTTTCCTCTCCGTAATGTTACATCTGGTGTTGGCAGACTGCAACTGAATTCGAAGTGAAATCCACGGGGATAAAATACTGTATGTTGCAGAACAGTGAACAGAATTCCAAACAGGGAACGGACAACAAGGTGGAAGAAATAGAAGTAGAAAACATAAAATTCTTGGCTCGTTTGTTCGCTATCGACGGTTGGTTCACCACTTTCGTTCGAGGTTCTGTCGACTTCCTCGACACGATCCTTTACTCTCCATGCATAAATAACACTGACAAGAACTGTGAAGGCAACACTTAGTAAAACAAAGCCGTACAATGGTAGAATAGTGTTATAAGTCTGTTCGTATCTTGAATAACATCTTTTCTCAACCGAAGTTTTATAAGCTGCGGTACTTTGTTTGTCAACAGCGCAACCAAATTTGGCGAACTCGCCGTTTCTTAATTCAAGAACAACACCAAATAGCGCGAGTCCAAAAAGGAAATGGAATATCACACAAACGTAGGCTACCCAACCAAAGCTCTTGGGCGTTAAATACTCCTTTACTGCGTCTATCATGTTGGTAAAACTTGAAATTCATCTCACAAATGTTGCGAGCAAATCCGTTTCGCTTGCGATTCGCCACGGGAATGTTTTGTAAAAATAGCAATTATGCAAGGAATGTATTGTTTAATAAGTTCTTTGTAAGTTTGCATGGCCATAAAACATATAATACTTTTTGTTTGTGGAAACATCACGTAAATTTATTACTGCAAAACTTTCGATCCGCCGGAAAGCCCGGATCTTCATCTGTGGTAATGGTACTGTAATACTAATGATGTGTAAACCCGATCCTGGCTTACGGATCGAAAGCTTTGCCGAAATAAATTTACGTGGTATTTCGACAAACAAAAAGTATTATAATGATTAATGTATAGTCTATTGATTAGCCAGACGTCAAATTAGATTCAGAATCAGGGTGCGATAATTCAATATTTTTAGCCGTACCTAACTGGTACTCCGACAACTTTTGCCGCGTACCTGGTCTGGTACAAATTTAAGAGTCAAGAAGTACCTAAGACTACTTCCGAGTCACGCGTTTTTACACCTACGTATGGTTTTACTGGTCCAAAAGCAAAAAATGTATGGGCAATTTTGTACAAATGAATCTTTAATTATGGTATTTGTACAACATAATATAACAGTTTTCAAAGCGTCGACGTTGTGACTCGAATGCCATCGCTCATTTACAGTGGATTTACCGAGGGTGCTAACAGTCAGACCTCAGCTACATACAGTGTAGTTTTCCTCATTGGGCCTAAAAGAAACCTGTGCATGGTTCCAGTTTCATATCACGAAAAAATTAGGGTAGGTAGGTCGTTTATAAAAAAAATTTTTGAATATTTTTTTCATGGTTTTGGCGGTTTTTTGCTGGGCGATTTTCAGTAGAGTCCCGACATCAATATTAACTAGAGATGCGTAGTTCCTACGGACGAATTTAGGCAATTTGGTTCAATAATTATTGTGACAACAGACGCCATTTCGGCACGCTGTACGAGCAGCCCTCAACCACCCGGAGAAAATAGGGTAGCACGGTCAATCATGTTGAAAAAAAAAATAATAGGGTGGGCAGAAAAAAATAGGGTCGGTCGGGAAACTGGAACCACAGGTATTTTATTTTTAGGCCTTGGTATTATAGCATTGAATTGACAATTAAGCCCAGGTCACACCACACAACGATAACTTGTAAACACGCGATAATACAACGAAAACGGTAAAACTAGCGTTTGACGATAACGATTTTAAAATCGCTCACCCGAGCGATTTTTTTTTCAGTCGGACGATGACGATACATTTTTCAATTAAGCTAACCTAAACTAAAGATAACCTTTTGGCTTTTTTCATCCCAAAATATGTCGGATGCGTGGAATTTACATATACAGCTAAAGTTCTTCACGGTTTTGAATACTTTGGCAGGTTTGCTAGTTACTACTAGAAGGAAAATGTAAGTACGCGAATAGCAAATTTCCGCGTACCTACGTGGTACTTGCCTAAAAACAAAGAAGTACCAGACCACAAATTTTGCGTACCTCCGGTACGTTGGTACGCGAATTATCGCTTGCCCTGCTAGACTGGTAAGAACAATTTGAATTGTTATCGCTGTATTAAATTAAAGGTGGCTCCCTACACTTTTTTAAATGAAAGATTTTCGGATTTGGATGATTTTCTGGACAATTATTACTTGTTTAAAAACGAAGAGTATCTGACTGGCATAACACAATAA